CCAGAGAAGGATCTTGGGTTCTCAGTCTAATCTTTTGTACTAAAAATAAATAATCCTGATAGAAATATAAGCCCAACTCTATCAAAAAAATTCACCATGGTGCTGGCTTTTCACCTCTCCTACCCTACCTTGAAATATAAACATTTTACTTTCAGAACATAAATGTAAGGTTTTATCATGTAAATTAATCATAACTTACTAAGACTTACATTCAGATATTCAGATGGGCCTGATTCTACATAAAAATAAAAATTATTTCCTTGAATTCTTTCTTTCCATGAACAGTGGAAAGTATTTAAAGTCTTTTAAAATGTTCTTTCATAAAATTTTATACATGCTTCATTACTCTAAATTTATTGTTCTAATTTTCTGTATTTTGAAAAGGTATCTTTTATTTTCTTGCTGAATTTTCTGTGTCACTTTGTTCCAGCAACATTACTAAACTGTTTTTAATTATAATGGGATGTACTTTAGCTGCTTGGAGGTTTCATACAAGTAATGGCTTATTTTTTGTGTTTTTGTGACTTGCCTTTCTTTGTGAGCATTAGGACCTTGGTAATCGTGTTAAATAGGAATGGTAATAGCAAGTATTCCTATTTTGTTCTTGATTTTAAAGAAAATTCTGATATTTCATCACTAATGCTTACTATAAGTTTTTAGTAGCTACTCTTTCTAGGATTAAGGATTTTGTCCTCTATTCCTATTTTCCAACTTATATTCTTTATTAACAGGCATTACATTTATCAGATATCCTTTTTGTGCTCTATTGGTGTGGTTTTTATTCTCCTTTAATGTCAGTCTACTGAATTATATGTATAGACTTTCCTATTACTAAGCCTTTTTTATATTTCTGAGTAATTTCTTGCTCATATTATCTTCTAAATAATAGTGTGGTAGTAGAGGTGACATTTATATTTGTATTCATAGCATTAAATGCTTTATACAGGTTTTTTCATCATCATCAGAGCTCCAAAAGTTACTAGGCACCAAAAACTTAAGTACACTAGTTCAAATTATAGAGGTAAAAATTGGTGAAGTTAAGCTAGAATTTCAGCAGAAAAAAAAAATCTAGAGTTCATGCATATCCTTTTATGCATTGACTTGGCAATTTTAAAAATTGCTTCTTCATTATGAATTTGACTTACAAGATTTTTTCCTTTACTTTCCTGTCTTTTTTAAAGAGACTTATTTCTGTTGGAAAGGCAGGATCTACAGAGAGAAGAAAACAGACAAAGCTCTTCCATCTGCTGGATCTCTCCCTAAGCAGCTGCAATGGCCAGAGTGGAGCTGAGCTGAAGCCAGGAGTTTCTTCTGGGCCTCCCCCAGTGGTGCAGTTCCCAAGGCTTTGGGCCATCCTCCCAAGCTACAAGTAGATAGCTGGATGAGAGGTGCTTTCCCAGGCTTTCCCAGGCTATAAGCAGATAGTTGGATGGGAGGTGGAGCAGCCAGGACAGGAACCAGTGCCTACATGGGATCCTGGCGCTTAAAGGAAGAGGTTTAGCTAACTGAGCCATTGCATTGGCCCTCCTGTCTATCTTTTTACATCAAGATCATAATGATCCTATAGAATAAGTTGAATAGTATAGCTTCATTTTCTGTTCTCATAAAGTCTTTTCAGCATGAATGATCCGCTACTGAAATACTAGTGATTATCTATAATACTTTCTGGCTTTGGAGCTTCTTCCCTACCATTGGGAGGACTGAGAAATTTCCTCAGCTATCAGCTCAGTTGCTTTAGTTGTGGGGCTGATGAAGCATGCTATTTCTTTTTATTTTAATTTTAAAATGTGGTTTTATTTTTATTGCTTTTTTCTTTTTTTAGCTTGGTTGGGAGGTAGAGACAGAGATCTCCCAAATACCTGCACAACTCTCAGTGGAACCCAGAGCCAGGAAATCAGCCTAGCTGTCCCACACAGAGGCAGGGACATAGTCATTTGAGCCATCACCTGCTGCTTTCTGGGCTGCTCATTTGTGTATACTGGAATTGTTCAATACCTCCGGGAATTGAACCTGAGCACTCTAATATGGGATACAGGTGTCTTAATCAGTACCTTAACTGCTAGGCTAACCATGTCTTCCATAAACATTCTGTTTACTGAAAATCAGTTCTGAGAAAATTTATTTTTTGCAGAAACTTGATCATTTCACAAGTTAGAGATTTGTTAGTATTGTGCTTTTCATTGTATTGTCTTTTTACCGCTTTTTACATTTGTAGTTACAGCCTCTTTTTCTTTCCCATTGTTGCCTCTTTGTGTTTTCATACTTATTGCCTTGGTTGATATTATATCTCTATTTTATTATTATTTTTCAACCAGAAATTTTAGCTCTGCTAATACATATCTTTTTATATATATAAATAAAGAATTATTTAGTCAGGAGCTTCTTCTGTGTCTCCCGCCTGAGTGCAGGGACCCAAGAACTTGAGCCATCCTCCACTGCTCTCTCAGACCATAGTAGGAAGCTGGATTGGAATGTGCCCATGTGGGATACCAGTGACACAGGCAGAGGATTAACTTGCTTGTTCACTATGCTGTCCCATTCTGTCATTTCAATTTCGTTGATTGTACTCTCATCTTTGATATCATAGTGTTTGGGAAGCAGCTTACTGTGCTATTCTATCTCTAAATTTTCCTTAAGATTTCCCTAAGTACAATTTTTATTACATCCCTGTGTTTTAGTATGTACTAAATATTTTTATCAGTTTTGTAATGTAAATAGTTTAATACACTTTATAATTTTATCATTGATCAGTTATTTTATTTTTTGATTTTTAACTTAATTGTGTTATTTAAGAACTTGATTTATATGCTGTTTTTTGAAATCTAATGAGGCTTCATTGCCTAGGCTGTTCCATTTATAAAATGTTTATTTGTGTTACTAAAGAGACTACTGTGTGTCCTCAAAAGAGTTCACACTTAGAATGACATTTGTTCCTAGTGTGTTGCATTTTATGTTTGGGAACATCCTCTTTGTTATGCTTAATAGTGCTGTTTCCGGAAAGCCCAGATCTTACTTTTTAAAATCCAATCAAACTAACTACCTTTAACTGGTGAGCTTAGCCCTTTTTGTATTTACTTTATTGCAAATGTGTATAGATATAGTTCTGTCATTTTTATCACACTATAATGCTTTTTCTGTTCTTTATTTTTCTTCGTTCCCTTTTATAAATATTTATGATAAAATATGTGTGTCATAAAATTTACAGTCTTCGCTGTTATAAAACACACAACACACAATTTTGTGTAGGAATCCCAAGAACCCTTTTCTGCAAAATCCTTTGTATTTATTCATTCTCTTGAAAGGCAAAAAGAGAGAAAGCAATTTACTCGGTCCCTCCCCACATGCCCATAGTGCTTGAGAGTCGGTGAGACTGAGTCTGGGAACTGGAAACTCAGTTTAGGTCTCTCTTATATGGCTGATGGAAACAGTTACTTGGACTGCCACCACTGTGCCAGGGTCCATGTTACAGGAAGCTTTGAGCTGGAAATCACACACACACACACACACACACACACACACATATTCCAAAAGAGATTGCAAGTGTCTTAATCAGTGTTTTAGCAGCTAGATTAAAGTACTACTCTATCCTTGTGAATGAAGTTATTGTTTTTTCTCTTTTATTTGTTCTTTGTAGTGTTTCAGTAGTTGCTTCTGAGTTCTACCATGCATATTATAGACTTCAATGTTTTTGAAACTTCTTTACTATTTCAATGTTGTTACTATTCAGTATTTTAGTTACTATTTGCTGAATAAATTAGACATTTTGAAATATAATCCTATATTTGAATTTGTTTACATCCACACTAACGCTTGCCAGTTGCTTAGCCCTCTGTTTTTCTTGTAGTAGACCTTTCTTCTAAAATCATTTTTCTTTTTCTTGAAAAAGTGCAGAACTGATTGTGGTAAGCTCCATCAGTTTTTGTTTGTGTGAAGCCACATGCTGGAAAGGTAATTGTTCTGAGCATACAGTTTAGTGGTTTTGCTGTTCTTGACAATACTTCATGCTCTTTGTATTTCTCATTACATTCATACTGTCCTAAGTCTAATTAATTTTTGAAGGATTAATAGGTGATATGCCATTTTTCCTCTGATTTCTTTTGAAGATCCTTTATCATTCTAATGTCACCAAGCTTCATTTTTTTTTAATGCTTCTTGTGTTAGGTTCTTTTTTTTTATTTTCTTGCATCATAAATGTAGAACTTTTTATGAGTGAATTCATGTGTGTCTCTAATTTTTACACAAAGTTTTTGTTTCTAGATTTCTAAAAGTTCTGCAAGTTTGGTCATTTTAGTAATCAAATTTTTTTCAGTGTATAATTTTTTGTTTCTTTAAACATGTCACACTTTAGTGTTTTTATGTCAGTATGTGATGATTCTGACACCCAGCTACCCTTGATATTTATGTTTATTTTTAAGTGGTTTTTGGTTTTTTTTTTTGCACGTGTGCTTGGTTGTACATTCTTATTTGTTTGCTTTTAATGTGTGGAAAACTGTTTTCATTTATTTCTATCTCTTTAAAAAGATATTCATTTCTTTTTGATGAAAGGCAGGTTTTTTAAACTGGCTTTAGTCTGCTTTAGTCTTTGCTAAGTTTTTTACTTTAATCGAGGAGTGGCAGTTTAATTTTTTGTTATCCTTGCTTCTGATCTAATGGTTAGTCTGCACATAAAGAGCAATTCTTATTTTTAAAAATTCTAATGTAGTCATTGAATTTCATAAAATATTGACCGTTGTATTCTGTATGTGTATACTCTATAATTATTTGTGGAAATGAAGGTACTGGGAGGTTAAATCAGCTGCTCCCTTGCAGTTAACTGTATTAGCGATGTAATTAGAGTACAAATGAGATGTGTCCTTAATATCCATTAGTAGTTTATCTCCTTTTTGTCCTGAGGTGAAATTATTTTGGCTCTTCTTTATTTGAAAATAGCTATTTTGATGGCCACATTTGGTTTCTAGTTTGCAGAATTGGTAACTTATATTCTTTTTATAAAACTGTAGGAACTAGTCCAGGCTAGTGAGCGATTAAAAAACCAGTCCAAAGAGCTGAAAGATGCACACTGTCAGAGGAAACTGGCCATGCAGGAATTCATGGAGATCAATGAGCGACTAACAGAATTGCACACCCAAAAACAGAAACTTGCTCGCCATGTCCGAGATAAGGAAGAAGAGGTGGACCTGGTGGTGCAAAAAGTTGAAAGCTTAAGGCAAGAACTGCGCAGAACAGAAAGAGCCAAAAAAGAGGTTAGTAGTCAGGCAAATTTTGTAGTGTCCATGGGGGTAGTGATTAAAGCTGCTTTTGAGAGTAGATAATGTGTCATTGTTTATTTTTTTAAATGTTATTTCTGCAGTTTGACAATATTCCATAGTATGAATTTCAACATTTGTGTTATCTTCTATTGAAAGGTAAATTCCCATGGGGGAAAAATGTTTTGTTTGAAAAATATTTTAACGGTGAGATCTTTTTTTTTTTTTTTAAGTTGGAAGTTCATACAGAAGCTTTGGCTGCAGAAGCATCTAAAGATAGGAAACTACGTGAACAGAGTGAGCACTATTCTAAGCAACTGGAAAATGAATTGGAGGGACTAAAGGTACCTTTTTACTTTACTTTTATTAAGCTTAATCTTCTTTGGCCTGATAGAATGCTTGAAACTTTCTCAAAGTATCTGTCATGGTAATCTGTGGTAGTGGGCTTTACTCTTACTGTACTTGTTAGCTGTATTGATCAGTAAATGTGGTAGGTGTTCTGATTGCTTCACTGATGGGCTGCTCCCTTCTCTCTTGTGATTCTTCCTGTTTCCCAAAATGCAATAATATTAAAATTTGGCCTGTTAATAACTGTTACAGGCTCTGAGTGTTTAAGTGAAAGGAACACATCTCTCACTTTAAATCAAAAGGTAGAAATCATTAAACTTAGTAAGGAAGTCTAATTGAAAGCTGAAATAGACTGAGAGCCTGACCTGTTGCACTGAACAGCCATGTTGTGAATGCAAAAGAAAAGTTATTGAGGGAAATTTGCCACACGAATGAATACAATAATCATTTAAATAAAAAAGTGAAACAACCTATTGTTAACCTGGAGAAAGCTTTAGTGGTCTGGATGAAAATGAAACCAATCAAACCATGCTGTTAACACAGAGCTTAAACCCCAGTCTGAGGGCCTAATTCTCTGAGAGAGATGTGAGGAAGCTGCAGAAAAAAGTTTGAAGTTAGCAGATGTTGGTTCATGAGTTCTAAGGAAAGAATCCATTTCCATAACAAATGGCAAGTGAAACAACAGCTGCTGATGTAAAAGCTGTGAAAGGTTATCTGGATGATTTACTTAAAACTGCTGATGAAGGTGGCTGCCCTGAACAACAGACTTTCTTAAAAAAAAAATCATAAATTTACTTTATATGAAAACCAGAATGACAGAGAGGAGCAAAGAGAATGGAGAGACAAAGATGAAGAGTAAGAGATCTTTGCAAATGGCTAAAGTAGTTGGAGCTGGGTCAGGCTAAAGCAGGAACCCAGAGGTACAAAAGTGGTAGTGGTCCAACTACTTGGGACATCTGCCGCTTTCATAGGTACGTTAACGGGGAGCTGTCTCTGAAGAAGAGATGCTGGGGCTGAGGCTGACACTGTGATACGAGACTTGACATCTTTACATAGGAATAGATGTCGACTAGGACTTTGTTAGTAAGGAGGAGAAATCAGTGCCAAGCCTCAGAGATTAAAGAACAATCTTAACTTTATTATTAAAGATAATTCAACTGGTTATTTTGAAACTATAACTCATTTGCTATTTTAGAAATGTAGATTTATCTGTCTACTCTGACCATGCCCTATATAGAGAGCAGCAAAGCTTGCATGACGGCATATCTGTTTATAGCGTGGCTTACTGAATAAGCTCACAGTTGAGACCAAACACTTAGAAAAAAATTGCTTTGAAATATTACTTTTCACTGACAAGACAGGGGAACTCAAAAGTGCTGTTGTTGTATACAACAGAGTTAATGTAGTTAATGTTTTCTGCTTCTTCATGGCACCCATTCTGCAACCTGTAAATGTAGGGGTGATTTCCAGTTCAAGTTCTTACTTTTTAAGAAAAACCTTTAGGATCTGGGAAAAGTCCATTGAAAACCTTTTGGAAAAGACTCATCATTTGAGATACCATTGAGAACATTTGTGGGAATCAGCGTAAAGGCTCCGTTGGCTCATCCTCTGCCTTGCAAGCTCCAGGATACCAAATGGGCAGCGGTTCATGTCTTTGCTGCTCCACTTCCCATCCAACTCCCTGCTTATGGCCTGGGAAAGCAGTGGTGAGATGGCCCAAAGCCCTGGGACCCTGCGCCAGTGTGGGAGATCCAAAAGAAGCCCCTGGGTTTAAATTGGCTCAGTTCCAGCCATTTCAACCTTTTGCGGAGTGGGCCAGCGGGTAGAGAATCTTTCTTTCTCCTTTCTGTATATCTGCCTTTCCAATAAAAATAAATCTTATATATAAATAATATATACATACTATATATACTATATTATATATAGTATATAATATGTCATATACTAAATAATATATAGCATGTTATATAATATATGAGTATTATATATGCGTTATATAATAACATTTGTGGATTCATTGGAAGAGGTCAGTTATGTACACTAACAAAAATTTGGAAGAAATTAATTCCAACCCTTGACTTTAAGAGGTTAAAGATTTCAGTTGAGAAGTAACTATGTGGAAATGTCAAGACAACCGAAATTACAGATACGACATGAACTCTTGACTTAGTTGCTGTAATAACAGGATCAAACTTTTCTAGATGATCAGTTGCTTCTATGGATGAGCAAAGAAAGCAGTTTCTTAAGTTACAATCTACTGTGTAAGCAACAACGAAAAAGATGGCATGTTATATATACTCAGTTAATAAAGCAGTGACAGAGTTTGAGAGAACTGATTTCAATTTTGAAAAGTTTTGAGAATATAAAGTACAACCAGACAGTATCACATGCCACAGAGAAGTCTTTCATGGAAAAGAATCAATGTTGCAAACTTCATTGTTTTGTCTTATTTTAGAAATTGGCATAGCCATTCCAACTTTCCATACGTACCACCCTTAAAAGTAAACAGCTAGGAATATCAAGGCAAATTCATCTAGCAACAAAAAGATTATACTGCATTGAAGCCTCAGATCATCATTAACATTTTTTGTTAATGATTTATTTATTTTTATTTTCTAATAATAAAAATCAGACATATAGAGAAAAGGAGAGACAGAGAGGAAGATCTTCTGTCTGCTGGTTCACTCCCAAAGTGGCTACAACAGCTAGAGCTGAGCCGATCTGAAACCAGGAGCCAGGAGCTTCCTCCTGGTCTCCCACACAGGTGCAGGGTTCCTAAGGCTTTAGGCCATCCTCAACTGTTTTCCCAGGCCACAAGCAGAGAGCTGGATGGGAAGTGGGGCTGCCAGGATTAGAACTGGTGCCCATAAGAGGTGCTGGCTTGTGCAAGGCGAGGACGTTAGCCATTCTGCTATTGAGCTGGGCCTCTGTATTCTTTTCTTATAATGGATAACTAGAAGTGAAATCACCAAATCATTTTAAAGTATCTGATAATTACAGAAACATTTGCAAATATGAAAAGTCCAAAATTTTTTACTTTAATTCTAGCTTTTTTAAACTAATGTGTTATTTATTAATTACATTTTCATTTTGTAAATGTAGTCTTTATTTAATTTTGGTCCCAGCAGTGTTCTTATCAATTCACATACATTTTTTACTCTGCAGAGTTCTATTTATATTTTTAGCACACTATTTTACAATTTATTAATTGCCCTTTAATTTTAGTCTTCTGTTTTAAAGATGTATTTGTTTATCTGAAAGCACAGTTGCAGAGGAAGAAACAGAGATCTTCCAACTGTGATGCCAAGATTTTTCTGTGGGACACCTGTGTGGAAGGCAGGAGCCCAAACACTGGACCACCTTCTGCTATTATTCTAGGCACTGGTGCCCATGTGGAATGTTGCTGTCACAAACAGCTGCTTAACTTGCTATGCCACAACACTGGCCCCATAATTTGATTTTAATTATTTTTAGCATTGTAGAATAAGAATGTAGAGTATTTGCTTATCTTCTCCTCAGTGTTTCTTCTGTTGCTTCAAAACTTGATTTGTCCTGTTTCCAAAGTTTTGATAAGTATTTAAATATACTTCTATTTTACTTGGTTTCAAAAATAGTTAACTCTTGAAATTATTTGGAATGTGTTTTGTCAAATGGTGTGATACAACTAACATTTGGTTGTTTTATTGATAGTTGATGATTCAATTTCAATTAGTTAATCCTATTTTCCATTGAATGAAGATGACATTTATTGAATGAATTGTTTGGAGAGGAGGTTTATTACAGTGAAACTTTATGCAAGATTTATAGCATGTTTTAATATTTGAAGAGATTATCTTCAGTTTTCTCAGGATTTGAACACATGTACATCCAATCTTTCCTAACTTTCCAAGTACTTGGTAGTTTTCTATATTGTTTGTGTTTGCTTTACATCTTTTATAAAGGCTTTTTATTTCTTCATATACATTGGAGAAATGTCTTGATATTATACCTTATCTGTGTGCTGTATTATTAATTTTTTTTTCATTAACAATGAAATTCTGTTAAAGCTCATTTTAATCTTTGAACTATCATTTATGTTTTCCTTATATACTGTTTAACATAATCCTATTCTAATATATCTAAGTAGATTTAAATATTTTCTGGGTAAACAGTTGGAGATGATAATTATTTCTTTAAATAATTATTTTATTATTTATTTTAACTGTTTCAAATTTTGGTTGAACAGAATAACTAAAATTGATGTTATACCAGAGTGATAATGAAAGAACATTTTTACTTGGTATTATTACTGCGTGTACTTCTGCTGTTACACCATGAGTAATACTTCGTTTGATAACTTGAAATGGTTTTTTTTTTAAGTTACACAATTTTCTGAGCACTTTTATGGTTTTATTGTTTCAATGGATAAAATATAGAATTATTTTTAAATTTTTGCCAAATATTTTTGGATCGGGTATGACTATTCACATTATCATTTGCATTTTAGATTTTAGTTTATTAAAATCATGCACGTATTTCTTAATATTAAATTATATTCAGTAACTGCAGTTAACCTATTTTGTGATAGCTTGTTCTTATTCAGAATTGGTTCAATATGCTGTTGATTTTTGTTAAGTTTGATTTCAGGGGAAATTTTTCCTTCAAACTTCATATTTATGCTGATACTATCCCAATGGCCACTCAAACTAAACATAATAGGAAACTGAAAATGTTTTGAGGTGATTTAAAAAAAAAAACATAGTATAGGTTAGTAGCCAGGACTATAGATGTTGATTTAGGCATCATTGCCAACAAAATGTTTAAAACACTAAGATTCTCACTAGCTCTGGGTATTCTTAATTGAAGCAGAGTTTTGTAGTTGTACCAAGCTAAGTAATACACAGTCTGGATCTGATATATGATAAGTATTTTTTTATTTTAAACATTTGTTTTGTTATATTTGAAAGATGCACAAACACACAAACCCCTTCCTCTAATCCAGTCATCAGATGTTTACAGCAGCCTGGGTTGGGCCAGGCTGAAGCCAGAAGCCAGGAACTCAGCTCATGTCTCTCATTTAGTTGAGACATTGAGCAGTTGTTTGGGCTATCAGCTGGTGTCTGCCAGGAAGCACATTAGCAGGGAACTATAATCAGTACCAGAACTGGGACTTCAACCCATGTTCTTCCCTATGGAATGTGGACCTCCCACGTATCTTCTTAATTACTGTGGCAAATGCTACTCTGCAAAAGGAATATTTAATTTATTTTTGAAGTGTTAGATGAGAGAGAGAGAGATCTTCCATATGCTGATTCATTCGCCAGGTAGCCACAATGGCCATTGCTGAGCCAGGATAAAGCCAGGAGCTAGGAACTTCTTCCAGATCTCCAGTGTGGGTGGCAATGGCCCAGTACTTCGGCTATGTCTTCCTGCTTTTCCCAGGGTTTTAGCAGGGAACTGGATTGGAAGTAGAGCAGCCAGAACATGAGCCAGTGCTCATATGAAATGCGAGCACCACAGGTGGTGGCTTTTACCTGCTATGTCATAGTATTTGGCCCCAGAAAGAGTATTTTTATATGATGAAATTAAAAAATGACATCAACTATATGAACGGTGTCAAAAATATATTATAGAAAAGTTATTTGAAATTTTATGATAAATGAACTCATCTTTTGTTATTATTTCCCTAGCAAAAGCAAATTAGTTATTCACCAGGAATATGCAGTATAGAGCATCAGCAAGAGATAACAAAACTAAAGACTGATTTGGAAAAGAAAAGTATCTTTTATGAAGAAGAATTAACAAAAAGAGAAGGGCTACATGCAAATGAAATAAAAAATCTGAAGAAAGAACTGCATGATTCAGAAGGCCAGCAACTTGCTCTCAATAAAGAAATTATGATTTTAAAAGACAAATTGGAAAAAACCAGAAGAGAAAGGTAAGAATCAAACTTTTTTGTTAATTGAATAAAATTAATTTTTTTGCTATGTATGAAATATTGGGGACATAGAAGCAATAAACATTCCAGTCCTAAATGACAGCAGTCAAGACTGACAGATAAAACATTACAATATGTAATAGGGAAGCTAACAGGAACACACTTATGACTTAGAAAATGTAGCTCTCATACTTAAAAGAACTTTAACAAAATTACTTCTAAGCTGACTTAAGAAATAAGAATAAAATAGCTAGGGAAGAGTCTCCAGGCAGAAGTAATTAAATTTGCTTAAGATCTAAAGGGAAAAAGGAAGCTAGCACATTTCGTAAGTGAAAACTGTTTACTGTGTTGGAAATATAAATGGAAAAAAACAAGTGGATAGAAATGAGGTTGGATGCCTTTCAAGTGAAATAAATCTTACTAATCTACACAATTTGTGTACTGTTCTTTTGTTTGTATATAAACAGATTTCATTTATTTCATAGCTAAAATGCATAGAGAGAATAGCCATACTCTTCCCCAACCTTTAGTTCCCCTCTTTCCTGCCTTTCTTTTCTTTCTTCGATTTTCATAAAGACATAGTTTCAGTCCAGTCCATAATCACAGGCTTACTTCAGCAATTACTGTAATATTCAACTAGTATAATGTAGAAAGGCCACAATTCCATAGGAATATAGCAAAGGGCTAAAACCAACAATCAGATCACAAGATGTTGGCCTCTTTCCTATCCTTTTCTTTTTTGTATTCTGTGTTAATTTTCACATGTTAGAGAAAATATGTATTTGTCTTTGGGCAACTGGCTTATACATAATGATTTCCAGTTGCAACCATTTTGTTGCAAAGGACAAGATTTCATTCTTTTCTGTGGCTGAGTAGTAGTCCGTAGTGCATATATACCACATTTTCTTTATCCATTCAACTGATAGATATCTGGGTTGACTTCCAATCTTAGTAATTGTGAATTTACCTGCCATAAATGTGAAGGTACATATAATTCTCACATGCTGATTTCATGTCCTTTATACAAATTCTGAGGAGTGGGATGGCTGGGTCATATGTTCGATCTATTTTCAGATTTCTAAGGAATTTCATATCTCTTCCATAATGATTGCACTGGTTAACATCCCCGTAGCAGAGTATTAGAGTACCTTTTGTCTCCTCCTCACCAGTACTTACTATTTCAATCATTGAAAAATACCTGCTCATTTTCTCTGCCCATTTCTTAACTGGATTGCTTGTTTTGCTGTTGTTGAGTTTTCTAAAGACTTTATAGAACCTGGGTACTAACCCTTTATTAGTTGCATAGTTTGCAGATATTTTCTTCCATTCTGTTGGTTGCCTCTTCATTTGTTGAGAAGCTTGTGCAGAGCTTCTTAGCTTAATATAATCCAATTTGTCAGTTTTTGCTTTTTTTGTCCATACTTCCATTATCTTTTTCAGGAAACTTTTCATTATAACAGTGTCTTGCATAGTTTTCATAATGTTTTCCTCTAGTAGTTTGATTGGTATCAGGTTTTTGTAAATTTAGATCCTTGATCTAATGTAAGTTGTGTAAGGTAGGGGTTTAAATTCTGTTTTCCCAGTACCATTTGTTCAAGAGACAATCCTTTCTCTGAGGATTGATTTTAGCTTTTCTGTCAATTTCTGCCATTTCTGTTTAGTTCCGTTGGTCTACATCTCTCTTTTTCTGACGGAACCACACTATCTTGATTATAATTGCACTATAGTATGTGTTGAAATCTGGTATTGTGAATAAATCTTTCTTTAAAACAAAAGAAAAAAAAATGAAGAAATGAGTCTGGAAAAGAAAATAGAGCCAATGTCATAAAGAATTTACATTGTACCCTAAGTCCAGTGAAGGAAACTAACCTGATTATATTCGTGTTGCTGAAGGATCACTCTTAAAACTTGACTATGTGAAGAATGGATTGAGAATAGGAGGCTAGAGATAGGAATCCAACTGTGAGGATTGGACCTCAGGAAGTGATAGTGAAGAATAAAACATGGAGAGGAATGAGTGAATTCAGGAGGTCTACTCTGAAATCAGGACTGCTGGATGTGGGAAATGTTAGGATAGGAGAAATTATCAGAGATAGCAAGATTTCTGTTTTTCGGGATACTGAATAAATGTTATTATTCTCAGTCTTACAAGGGGCCCAGATGTATTCATTGTGGTACTTGCATTCCCTTAGCAGTTTTTCCTTTTAGTAAATACTGTATCCAAAACATGATTGTATGTACTGGGAATATTCCAACAAATAAATGAACAATACTTCTCTGTCCTTCTGGAACTTTGTTTTAAGATGATGAAAAGCAATAAAGATATAAATATAATATAGAATACATTGGATAGTGATACATCCTATAAAATTTACTTCTTCGTAAAGACTCAGAAAAGTGTCAGATATTTATACTATTGAATTAGAAGACGAAAGAATGGGTCTGTTAAAATAAATAAATTATTAAAAAGAAGGAGCCAGTGTGGGTGAAGAAAATTTAAAGGGGGAAGAATAGAGATGGATAATAAAAGTAATTAGGGTCAAATCATGTAAAAACTTGTAAGTTGTGTTTATATGACTTTTAATTACCTGTTGTGAGTAAAATCATTCTAAGAAATTACAGGATTTTAGTAGGAACATGACAAGTAGACTTGTGCCTTAAGAGAATTTAAGGTTTAAAAATGGCCTGAATTAGATAGGATCAGAATCTTCTTGCTTCACTAAGAGTCTTGTAAGAAAGATAACTGGTATTTGTTGATAGACTAGATGTGGGATGAGGGAGAAAGAGCAAGACTCAAGGATCATAATAAGGTTTTTGACTGACACACTTGGGAGAACATATTTACTATCTAGGAAGGGGAAACACAGGAGAAATAAGTTTGAGATGCTTATTCAGCAACCAGCTGGAGATGTCAAGTGGGCTGATGGCTGGACCAGCCTGGGTTTCAGGACTGGCACTGAAATCCTTAAGTGTTTATCACTCAGTTGCTGTTTAAAGATGTGAGACTGTATAAAATTCCTACAAAAAGAAAGGAGACCATGGGATTGATTCTTGGGTACTCCAGCATTTAGAAGTTGGGAGATGAGGAAGAACCAGCAGAGTGGATGAGTGCATGAATGGTTGGAAAAAGATCAATAAAATCTGGTGTCCTGGAAATCAAGAAATGAAAATTTATCACTTTTTTATGCATGTCAAGTAGGGCCTAGCACAATAGTCTAGTGGCTAAATCCTTCCCTTGCATGCAAAGGGATCCTATATGGGTGTCAGTTCATGTTCTGGCTGCTGCACTTCCTATCCAACTTCCTACTGACCCAAAGCCAGGAGCCTCCTCTGGATCTCCCACATGTTGCATGGTCCCAAGGCTGCGGGTCATCCTGTACTGCTTTCTCAGGCTGTAAACAGGAAGCCTAATGAGAAATGGATGAGCCCAGATATGAACCAGCAAGGATTTAATCATTGAGCCGTGGCATGCCATATACTACATAAAAATTTAATCCATTTATTTGTGTGCATATTTTTCTGGTATGCTTCCTAACAATTTTAATGTTTTTGTTATTTGTTTCTGAAAGTACTGTGATAAGATTCATTAATTTTTATTGGAAAGGCAGAGTTACACAGAAAAGAAAGACAAAAAAAATAGAGATCTTCCATCTACTGGTTCACTCAGATGGCTGCAGTTGCCAGAGTTGTGCCAATCTGAAGCCAGTATTCAGTTTCTTCTTCTGGGCTTCCCCCCAGTGCAGGAACCCCAGGCTGTGCACTAGCCTCTGCCACTTTCCCAGCCCATGAGCAGGGAGCTAAATCAGAAGTGCCGCAGCCAGGCCCGGAGCCTGTGTCTGTATGTGATGCTGGCACTTCAGGTGCAGGCTTGGTCTGCTCTGAATGGTGCCAACCCTAGGAATAATTAGATTTGCTATTTTGATAGTAAAATAACATTTTCTTGGAGACAATGTAAATCATTTTCCTTGAGGGTATGATTTAAATTGTTCATTTTTAATTATTTAGTGGGTATAGAGGGTTTTTATGCTTATGCTTTTAAGATCAACCATTACTTACTTTTTTTGCTTGAAAGCAGTTGTGCACAATTCCCCAGAGTAGAGCCATATTTGAAGCTGATTTGTTGCTTAGATCCTTCAATAAGTGACTCTAGATATACACTTGTCTACCTGATAGCATATTTGAAAACTGATACTCCTTTTCTTAGGTTTTGAAAAGTTCTGCACCTTACCCCCAAGTTTGCCATTTTGAACAATGATAGTGCTAAATTTGTTGATTATTCCTTTGATTAGACGTTGGAAAGAAGCTGGTAGTGAGAGTATTGAGAGAGCTGTTAGAAATTTAATTGTGAATTTTCCTAACGATGTAAGATGATAATAAGGGATTATATTGTGGAACATTTCTTTTTACCTTTCCCTAACTTCCTTCTTCTGTACCTCTTAGTATAAAGACAGCTAAACAAAGGAAGCATAATACAGAAGTTTATACATCTCAGGTGTCCAGATTGTCCAGTGAAGACATGTCATTAGGCAGACAAATCCATTAATTAAAAGCAACTGTGTGTGACTTAAATTTTATTTTTGAGGAGAGGATTGGGATTTGAAACAAACTGTAAGTAGTAAAGCAGGTGGTAGATTAGGTAGTGCGGAATATCATTCATTTTCATAAAATGAAGAAGTATACTTTCTTGAGGCATGTTCCATTATCACCTGCCCAATTAGAAAACACCTGACCCTGTGTTTTACCAGGATGCTATCTTTTAGTGCCATGGTGTCAGGAATATATTCTGGGTGTACTTCAGAGTATGCCTAGAGGACTACTAAACCGATTGCCTGCGATACTTGTAGATCCACTCTTAGCAATCTCATCTTACTGGACCAATAGACACTTTACCATATGCTAGCTAAGCTCATTGATTGTAGGCTACTGTTAAGTCCAAGCTTTAATTATTCCCTAGCTTTGAAGATCTACATCTGAGTAGTCAACAGAAAACTAGAAATTCCAAATGAATATGTCCAATTAATAAAGTTAGCTCTGCTTTTCCTTCATCCTCCTTGGTCCAGGATTCTTGGAATTCTGCTGCTCCTACTTTTTTCTATTGGAATTCTCAAAATATTTCAATACTCATTTTAAGTACCCTTCTTCACTTGTATATCTGGCTGATGCTGAAATCTTAGTCATGAGCCTGAAGACAAGGAAAGTTGATGGAATAGGTGTTGTAGATAATTGTCTTCCCTTTGCTTTGACTATTCCAAGTGACGTTAATAAGTCATTTATGCAAAGAAATGCTGAGAAGGAATGAAACTGCTTCCACTTGCCTCGATAATTCTTGGGCATTTGAAAGTTTAGAGTTCTCATCTGTTGCTGCCCAGAAGTTCTCATTCCTTATTTGTGGTTACACTATTCTGTTCGACAGCCTGCACCGTTAGCTAGGCTAAAGGGTTTGTCAATGTTGTGCCATTCAGTATTTGTACCTTCTGATGGAATATACTCAAAAGAGCATAGCATCATGATTGCTGTGATATTCTGGCCAAAAATTAATTCCTTGATCAGACAGACCCAGATTGAATGCTACCCTACACAAGTGAGCATCCTGTACTGTTTTAAAACTGAAGAAATAGGGAAGACTGGGACCAGTATGATAGCCTAGTGGCTTAAGACCTCACCTTGCACGCTCTGGTATCCCATATGGGCACCTGTTCTAATCCCAGCGACCCTACATCCCATCCAGCTCCCTGCATATAGCCTGGAAAAGCAGTCGAGGATGGCCCAAAGCCTTGGGACTCTGCACCATGTGGTAGACCCTGTAGAGGCTCTGGGTTCCTGGCTTCGGATCAGCTCAGCTCCGGCCATTGAGGTCACTTAGGGGGTGAAGCATGAGACAGAAGTTCTTCCTCTTTGCCTTTCCTCTCTCTGTAAATCTGACTTCCAAGAAAAAAGTTTTTTAATTAAAAATAAACAGGGAAGACTTAGAGACTGCTTGACACCAAAGGAACTTGGGAAAGAGACGTTACTGCTAAGTGTAACTCAGTCTATCATTTGGATCCTGGAGTAGTGAGAGGATGGGATGATTAGCAGACTGGAAGTTGGTTCTATTAATTTGAATGGTGATGCTGTAGCAACGTTGATTTTTTGATGGGCTTAGTGGTTATCATGCAGACTAACCCTGGCTTCGTGAAATACACACTGGAATACCAGCATGAAGGGAAGAATAATAATGCAGTGGTTCCTAAGAAGGAAAATGGAATCAGTGCAGAATTAGTGCCATGTTAATAGTTGGGGAATCTGAGTAAAGTAGATATAGTCACTTTGCCTTATTCTGGTAAATTTTCTACAAAACTAAAAATTTCTGTAAAATTAAGATTGACAAAATTATACATATATAATACAGATATTATACTTAGAGACTTAATGCAGAAATTCTTCATCTAACATGAAGAATTTAAGAATTTTGATCAAATTCATAAGAAGAACATGTCTGACTCTGTCTTACATGAAGTTTACTGACTATTTTTGAGGACTGTTATGCAAATACACAGAAGTATCTAATACTCAGCTTCGGTAGCACACATACTAAAATCAGAAAGAAGTATTTAGCTTATCTAGTTCGATCCTATTTTCTTTTAATGAAATATATTGAAGATGAAGGAGATGGCAATTGTTATTTTCATTTTATCAGCCTGTTTTGTAAACTTAGCCTTTGTGACTATATACTCAACATTATCCATCCCCTCCCAATAGCAGTTATGGCATTATCATATTTAGGTTTCTAAAAAGGATTTATTTCTTTTATTGTCAGAGTTACAGGGAGATAGGAGAGACAGAAAGCTACAGATCTTCCAATCACTGGTTTCCTCTCCAGGTGGAAGCAACGGCCATTTCTGGTCCAGTCTGAAGCCATCCAGGTCTCCCATGTATGTGAGCGTCAAGGGCTGAAACACTTAGGCTGTCCTTTGCTGCTTTTTGCAGGCCGTTAGCAGGGAGCTGGATTGCAACTTGAGCTAACATCCATATGAGATGCTGGTATCACAGGTGGTGGTGTAAACTGCTGTCACCCAACACTGGTCCCTGTATTTTAATTTCTTTATATAGTTTATTACCTAAAATTAATTCATTTATTCTCTTTTCATTCCATGACCTTTCCAATGAAATAAAACTCGCATGAGTACAGGATGTATCCAAAAAGCCTGCAATATTTTTTGGCTTCTAGTTTAACCTCATCAATATTCATTAAGTGAATGAATAAATAAACAGATCGCTATTACTCTATTATAAGTTGTTGGAAAGTGTTTTCTTATATATTATTATTATTTTATTATACAGTTCCATGGGCTCTGGTATTTCTCTCTTTCCTTCCGCAAGCCTCCACCACTTCCCCTGATTTCTCCAATATCGTTACAGTAGTAATCCTGCGTAACCAGTCATAAGTCCATCATTTTGCTATTTAAATGTATGCTAACATTGTAGATATGGACAATGGTAGAGAGTCTATCATCCTATTGTAAAGGTATTTATCAGTTTCATTGGGAGTCCATCTTTGATTTGAAACTACAGATGCAGACTGCATTATATCTTCACATCTGAATGTGGTGGTCTCTAAAAGACAGTTACCATACATCCCCTGATATGAAAAGCCATAAAACAGGATCAGCAGCAGGAAGAAAAGTAGGAAATTTACAACAGCATGAAGTTTAATAACATGTTACTGTATGACTAATGTGTTGCTGAAGAAATTAAATTGAAAATCAGAAGCCTTCTTGAAGCAAACAGTGCTACTGTGTGACCTGAGTCAGTGAGGAAATTAATAATAACAAAATTTTTTGAATGAATGAAAATAGAAACAAATGTCAAACCCTCTCAGATGTAAGAAAAACAGTATTGAAAGGATTATTAATCTTGTGTTTTGCATTAAGTTTGCCTTATATCAGAAGGAGTATATGCTATTTGTCCTTTGAGGATTGACTTATTTCTCTGAGCATAGTGGTCTCGAGTTGGGACCGTTTGATTGCAAATGATACAATACGTTCTTTTAATGGCTGAGTAGTATTCCATAGAGTAGATGTACCACAGTTTATTCACTCCTCTTATGATCGGCATCTGGGCTGTTTCCATGTCTTTACTATTGTAGATTGTGCTGTTATGAATATTGGGCTGCAGATTCCTTTCTCATATGCAGATTTCATTTTCTTTGGATATATTCCCAGAAGTGAGATGCGTCATATGGCAGACCAATTTTAAGTTCTCTTAGCACTTTCCATAATGACTTCCAGAGTGGTTTTACTAGACTACACTGCCACCGATAGACTGCCTTTCTCCCCACATCCACACCAGTTCTGAGTATAGGCCAGTGTCAGTGGAGTTAGGTGGAATACCTGTGTGGTTTTCATCTGCATTTCTCTGGCAGCTAGAGAGCCTGAGCATTTTTTCATGTCCTTTAACCAGTTGGATTTGTTCTTTTGAAAAATATCTGTTCATTTTCTTCTCCCGCTTCTTCACAGGGTTGTTTGTTTTGCTGTCTCTGAGTTTCTGAAGCTCTTTGTAAAACCTGGATATTAGTCTCCTGTTTGAGGTGTAATGATTTTCTCCCTTCCCATCAGTTGCTTCTTCTTTGTTGTTCATTTCTTTTGCTGTGCAGAAGCTTCTTGTTTGATGTAGGCCAATTTGTTAATTTTGTCTTTGACTGCCTATGCTTTTGGTGACTTTTCCCAATTCCTACACCGTGTAGAGTCCTTCCTATATTTTCCTCCAATAGTTTGATGCTTTCTAGATGCAGATTTAAATCCAGTTAGAGCTGATTTTTTTATAAGGTGACAGATAGGGGTCTTGTTTCTTACCTCTGCAGGCTGTTATCCAATTGTCGCAGCAGCATTTGTTGCAGAGGCTAGGCTTTTTTCCCTGAATTATTTTCTGTTCTCTTGTGGAAGATTAGTTGGCTGTACATGTGTGGACTCCCTTCTGTTCTGTTCCATTTATCTTCTTTGTTTCTGTACCAGTATCAGAATGTTTTGATGACCGCTGCCCTATAGTATGCCTTGAGGTCATATAGTATGTCTTGTGATTCTTATAGCTTGATTTTTATTCTTCAGGATAGGTTAGGCTATTCGTGATTTCTTGTGTTTCCAGATGAACTTTTGTATCTTCTCTATTTCTGAGAAAAATGTTGGGATTTTGATTGGGATTGAGTTGAATCTGAATATTACTTTTGGTGCTTGCTTCGGCAGCACATATACTGAATATTACTTTTGGTAATATGAACATTGTGATGATGTTGATCCTGCTGATCCAGAAACTTGGTAAGTTTCTCCATCTTTTAATGTCTTCTTCTATTTCTTTTTTTTAATGTTTTATAATTTTTATTATAGAGGGCTTCACATATTTGGTTAGGTTTATTCCAAGGTATTTGAGTTTCCTCTCTGCTGTTTTAAAAGGGACTATATTTGTAATTTCTTCCTCAGTCATGGAGTTATTTGTGTATGCTAGTGCCATTGATTTATGTTCATTTATTTTGTATCCTGCTACCCTGCCAAATTCTCTTGTGAATTCAAGTAGTCTCTGGATTGAATCTTTTGGTTCTTCTATGTAGAGAATCATGTCTTTTACAAACAGGGATCATTTTAATTCCTTATTTCCTTATAATTTTAATTCCTCATTTTCTTTATAATTATTATAAAAATGATTTCTCTAAAGTGTTCATTTACCCTTTAATTTGATTTCTGTTTTAAAAATATTTTTATTGTATTAGCCAAAGTGAAAGGGAAGAATTTGAAAATGAGTTCAAGCAGCAGTATGAACGAGAAAAAGTGTTGTTAACCGAAGAAAATAAAAAGTTGACAAGTGAACTTGATAAGGTGAGTAATTCAAATTCGTATCAATTGAGCATATGCTACATGTCAGTATTATCAATATTATTGTATTGTGTACAGTAGTTCTTTTCAGCTGGGACTACTTACATGATATAGTTTTTCCTTCTAGAGAGACAGAGTAAGAGACAGATCTTCCAGCCATTGTTTCACTCCCTAAATTTCTATGACAGCCAGGGCATGGCCAGGTGAGAGCTGGAAAGCTGGAACTCAACCAGGATCTTCTACATCTGTGGCAGAGACCCCAAAACTTACCACCTTACCTTCTAGGATGCCCATTAGCAGGAAGCTTCTGTAGGAAGCAGAGTAAGAGCTGGAACTCTGACAGTCTGATCCTGGATGTGGCCATGCCATGTGACAGTTAAACCATGTCACCAGATGCCTACCCCATCTTTTTTGTTTTTTGTTTTGTATGTTTTTGTTGTTTTGAGCCTCCATGTTTTATTTTGCTTAGATTTGTTTTGACTTTTTGTCATGTCGTTTAGAGTGTCATGCCAGCTAAGGTACTGACTGGCTAATTAAAAGATGGCATTTGATGAGAGCAAGGACAGTTACCCACACTTGGAGAAATTAGAAGTATATTTTGTTATTCACTGTGGAGAACTGGTAATCCTAGAAATAATATCAGGGATCAGTGTTAATCCAAAGGAAAAAATTCTACCTAAACTCTAGCTTGATTAAAGAGCAAAATTATGTTTTGAACCTAAAAGTGGCCGATTTTGTGAGCAATTTTAAAATTACAAGAATTTTTTTTTCCATTTAATATTGGATTTTTCATTGTCGTTATGAGGTTGTTGTGCCAATTATTTAATAGCTTTACAAATAATAATATTGGCTACAGGTTTTTCTCATTCTGCTTACATTTAAGTAAGGAAAGTTTGAACAATTATGTTTTATAATGATTTTAAGAGTTTCGCTTGCAGTCAGTATTGTTGCAGAGTGGGTTAAGCTGCTGCTTTTAACACTAATATCCCAGGTGAGTATTGATCTGAACCATCACTGCTCCAGTTTTGATCCAGCTCTATTTTAATGTTCCTGGGAAAGCAATAAAAAAATGACCCAAGTTCTTGGACCACAGCTACCAATTTGGGAGACTTGGAAGAAACTCCTGGCCTCAGACCAGCCCAGCTATGGTCTTTTTGGTAATTTAGGGAGATAAAAGGCTGGCTCTTACTGTCTCTCTCACTAACTCCTCTTCAATACGCCTGCTACCTGTCTTTCGGTAATTTTTGCTTTTCAAGTACATTTTTCAAAAAATCATATGAAAAGGATTTTTTCTCAGGGCTTGAGTTGTGGCATGGAAGTTACTCTCTCTGATACCATGATCCCAGGTGGGCTCTGTTGGGATCTGGTCCATGTTGCTGCTGTTGTACTTGATTCTTTACCCTCTGTTTCCATTTATTTGCTTTCTTGTTTGATTTGAATTGGATATTTTCTCCAAGAAATATGACTGACAAAGGCAATTGCCTTTCCAGTGAGAATCAACTGGAAGGAGACTGCTTTTTCTTTTATCAGAATTTCAAGCAAAAGCCAAAAAACAATTATTAGATTAATTTTAAAATTTATTTATGATACATTTTTGCATTTTAAGCCACAAAAATGAAAATTAAAAATAGATTTTTAAAATTGTCTTTTGGAAATCTGTATGCTATATTCTTAAAAGTTACTAAAGTTAACATTGTAATTAGTGTCCCATATGCTTGAGGCAGTGAAATAGATGTTATATAGAAAGACAGACAGCACGTATTTTTATGTTGTCTTTTAAGTATTTTACAAAACATCATCATTTTAAAAGTGGATAATAATTAACATGAAACATATACTCTTGTTACAACCAAAACTATTTTAATTGTTGATGTTCCTTTCCATTATTTGCTTATATTCATAGTATTTCATAATTGCAATCTTTTATATACCTTCCACTTACTAATCTTTTTTCACTTAAAATATCATAAACACTTATCATATTCATGTGTAGTTTTATATCATTATGTCAGATACCTTATGCTAAGATAGTATAACTTCATTTCCAAACATGCAGAATGACCCTGTGTTACGGTCGAATTACTATGTGTAGGTTCTTTTCTGAGTGACTTCATCATGTATTTTAGTTTTCACAGTAACTCTCTTAAGGTCTGGTTTGTCTTTCCGTTTCATAGCTGGAGATACAAAGGACAGTTAAACTGTCTGTCTAATTGAACGAGGGAGTGAGAGATTGGGGTTTGAATTTATGTAGTCTGGTTCCAGAATTTGAATAAAATAATAATCCAGTAATAATGCAATGGTTGATTTTTTTCTGACCAACACTGGCACAAACAAAGCAATCTGCTTGTACCAGTTGTGATAGAACAGTGCAAGGCTACATGTTACTCCTCATCTCACAGATTTCCTGAGCCACATAATATGTGGAAGGTCTGCAAAAAGCAGTAGTGATCAAAACAAAGCAAAAGACTTCAGAGACTAGTGGAGCAGATACCACGTTTGCAATTCTCAAAAATGACTGGTAGGCTTCGGCCTTGCTAATGTGAGCTGATTGATAACTCTCCCTTACTCTGAGTTTTATAATAGGTATACTTGTTTTATTAAAAAAATTTTTTTCAGAGCTCCTGGAACAATGAGAAGATAAAAGTACCAAACATTGCTGTGATAAACTAATTAATATCAGAACAATGGAAATGAGTTTTTTTCCAGATTGATCTGAAGATTTAAATACATTTGTATCAATATCTTGGTAAACTTTTTTGATTGGAGTTACCGAGATTATTAATAAATTTGTAAAGGAAGATAAAAGACCTAAAATGTTGAAAATATTATAGAGAAAAACAAACATTACAGTATTTACAATGTATCATTTTATACTTGCAAGTATATAGTCATCAAAGAGTATAGGATTAACATGATGGAACATAGTAAAGAGTACAAAAATTAGTTTCCACATTTATGATCATTTCATTTTCAACAAAATGAATTTAGTGACAATTCAATTGGAAATGGTTCTTTTCACCTGTTGTTGGTGCAATTGGATATTCCTGTGCAAGAAAAAGATGAATTTAGATCCCAACTCATAACTTATATAAAATCCTAAATTGAAATCATGAAGTAAAATAAAATATAGGAGATAAGCAAAGAAGAAAATTATTTTTAATTTTAGGTTACAGACTTAATATATATATATATGACATTAAAAAGCCTAGTGCTTTAAGGAAAAAAAATAATAAATTAACTTTATCAAAATTTAGAAGCAGTGGCCAGCATTGTAGTGGAGGAAGCCAGTGCTGCCTGCAGCACCAGTGTCCTGTATGAGTTCCACTTCTGATCCAGCTCCCTGCTAATGCTTTGGGGAGGCAGGGGAAACTGGCCCAAGTACTTGGGCCCCTGCACTCATGTGGGAGACCTGGAAGAAGCTCCTTGCTCCTGGCTTTGATCTGGCCGTGCTCTGGCTGTTGCAGTCATTTTGGTGAGTGAATCAGCCAATATGGAGCATCTCTCTGTCTCTCCTGCTCTCTCACTTTGCCTTTCAAGCAAATAAAACATTTTTTTTAAGGAAAGAAAATGAAAACAAGATTAAGATAATGAAAACACATGTATGGATGGAAAGAAAATATTTTCATATAGTTTATTTGATAAAAAACACTTGTATAATAACTTAAACACTTGTATAATAACTTAAATTTTGAAAATATGTTTTATTTGTGAAACAGAGAGCTCCCATCCACTAATTCACTCCACCAAATGCCCACAGCAGCCAGGGCTGGGATAAGAATAGGGCCTAGAATTGGAGATTGAGAATAGGTCACCAATGCCTTCCAGGATCTGCATTGGCAGGAAGCTGGAATCAGGAACTGGAGTCAGAAATTTAAGCCAGGCATTCTTGCTTAGGATCTAGGCATCTTATGCACTGGCTTAAATGCTGGCTACCCATACTGAATTTTGAGCAATTTAAGGGATTGAACTTTTAAAATGTATTTAATTTGAAAGTCAGAGTTTCAGAGAGAAAGGAAAGAGAGATCTTCTGGTTCACTCCCCAGATAGTCACAATGGCCAAAGCTGGACCAGACCAAAGCCAGAAACCTGTGTAGCTTCATCTGTGGGGATACAGGAGCCCAAGAACTTGCGCCATGTTCCAAAACTTTTCCCAGGACATTAGTAGGGACATAGATGAGAAGTGGAGAAGCGAGGACATGAACCAGTACCTATCGGGATACTGTTGTTGCTGGCAGCAACTTTACCCACAGTGCTGGATGCACCCAAGAGCTTTTTGCTTCAAGTAGAGAACATTTTACGTCGTATCCAGCATGTCATCAAGAATGGATATGAAGCCAGATTCTGTGTAGTATGGAAGAGCAAAACAAAGGAATCGGGAGAATTGAGAGTACTTGATATTTCCAAATACTTGTACTTCCAAGTACTTGATATATCCAAATAAGAAAGAGTGTGTGATAAGGTAAAACCCAACACTTTTTGTAGCAGTCAGTTATCACATATATCAACAAATATCTAAGCACTTTGAATTCTTGATCCTAAGAGTTACACATGTCTTAAAATTACCTTTCAGCTTACCACTTTGTATGAGAATTTAAGTATGCGCAACCAGCAGTTAGAGGAAGAGGTAAAAGATCTAGCAGACAAAAAAGAATCAGTTGCTCATTGGGAAGCTCAAATCACAGAAATAATTCAGTGGTAAGTACTCTTTTAAATGTTTTTGGGTGATTTTGCACATATGACCAAGGTGGTGTGAGGCTACTAATAAATTTTTAATCATACTTGTTTACTATGAAAAATGTTACTTTGAAAAACATTGTTATTACTGATCATTTGTTGTGTGTTGTGATCTGTTTTCTAAAAGTGTTCCTTTCTGAGAACAAAACTGTTAATACTTGTATTTTGTTGTGTCCAAGCCTGCCAGTACACAAGAGTGCTACATACTGATAAGATTGGAAATTCTTTTATTACCTGGTGAGAGTGGGCTCATGCCCCAAATTTCTCTTGACCCCACAGTTCAGAGCAGCAGGGTTTAGGCAAAAACCATTTATAAAGGTAGACCAGGAGGGGTTCAGGGGGGCTGAGCCAATGCAAGACTACTCAACAATAACTAAGTTTATGTTGCTGAGCCAGGTGAAACTCATTTTCTCCTACTAATGCTTTCAAAGCCTAGCCAGAGGCTTGAGCATTCTCACCAAGTACAATACAGTGTTCTTGGCCAGGCTACAATCTCATGAATGAGGTGTTACCTCACCTAAAATGCAGCCCAGAGGCTCAATATGGAGTCCCTGATGCCAGACTTGTTATTTCAATTTTGAGAATAAAGAGCTTGAGAAAAATTTAGAAGTTGAGAATATTGTGCTGTTTTTCTTTCATAATTGTGACATACAGTGTAACATTTTTAAAAAGGTTCCTTTGAAAGACAGAGTTACAGAGAAAAAGAGAGAGCAAAGAAACAAAAAGAGAAATAAAGATCTTCTGTCTGCTAGTGTTCAGTCTGAAGTAGCTGCAGCAGCTCAGCCTGGGACAAACCACAGCCAGGATGGTTTTATTGCTTATTTTGAATTTTCACTTTTTGTTTCTACTCAAACCAACCTCCCATCTAAAGGAAGATTATACCAATACCCTTTAAAACTTTTCTTTAAGATGTTGGTATTACAAGCATGGCTTTAACATCCCTCATCCAATGATGGCCCCAACAGTAAAAGACTTTTTTTTAAAGATTTATTTATTTTTCTTTGGACAGCAGGTTTACAGAGAGGAGAGTCAGAGAGAAAGGTCTTCTGTCTGATGGCTAACTGAGCTGATCTGAAGCCAGAAGCCAGAAACTTTTCCCAAGTCTCCCACATGCATGCACAGGCCCAAGAACTCGGACCATTCTCCACTGCTTTACCCTTCCATCAACAGGAAACTGAATTGAAAGTGGAGCATCTGGGACTAAAACTTGTGCCAATATGGAAAGCCAGCACTGGCAGGCAGAAGATAGTCTGTTGGGCCACCACACCAGCCTCAGGAACTTAGTATTTTGAAATGTGCGTGTGTTTAAATTTAGAGTTAATTTAAAGTTCATTCTATAATTCAAGGGTGAGCTTTCTCTAATTTATGAGATGGGTAATTCAAACTTTCTGAAACATCTCCAACTTCCATTTGGATTTGAGAGTTCAGTGAACGTTTTCTGGCTCTTAGCTGGGAGACATTTTCAAGGAAGTTGTTATTTAAGAACAACTTTAAATTTCTTTGGCACAGCACAATAGCCCAATTGGCTAATCCTCCACCTTCAAGTGCCCACATCCCATATGGGAACCAGTGTGTGTCCTGGTTGCTCTAGTTCCCATTCAGCTCCCTTCTTATTACCTGGGAGAACAGTGGAGGGTGGCCCAACGCCGTGGGAGCCTGCAATACATGAGAGACCTTAAAGAAGCTCCTTCAGATTGGCTCAGCTGTGTCCATTGCCAGCCACGTGGAGTGAACCAGCAGATGGAAGATTTCTCTGTCTCTCCTTCTCTCCATAAATCTGATTGGTTGTTCCAATAAAAATAAGCAAATATTTAAAAAAAAACCTCTCACCTATTTCTTTATGAAGCTTTACAATAATATATGCCTCATTGAATTTTTCCTGTTTTGCTTTTGTACTTTATTGTTATGTATTCTAGGGTCAGTGATGAGAAAGATGCACGTGGATACCTCCAAGCCTTAGCTTCAAAAATGACTGAAGAATTGGAAGCATTAAGAAATTCCAGTTTGGGTACACGAGCAACCGTAAGCTGTGACATTTTGTATGGGTACTTAAATATTAAAATAAGTAAGTCTCAAAACATTGTAATGAATCTAATTACTTATATCAGTTAGTCCGGGCCTTATCTGCAGAGTTCTTCATGAGAAATCCATTCAGGCCTTTTCCAGTTTAGGAAAACATAATACTTCACCATTTACCTGGAATTTGTATGGTTAGCTACTATTGGAAATAAATTTAAAAGGAATTCACCTACATGGTTTCTGAGTTGATGAAAATAGTATATTCCTATAGATAGTATTTTTATTCTGTTACTAGAGAATGATAATACAAATAGCTTCCAAATTTATATGGATTACCAAATTTAGATGCTAAAAAATAAAATCAAGTAGAACTAAAAACAGCCATCAATTCATAGGACATGCCCTGGAAGATGCGTCGTTTTGCAAAACTGGATATGTCAGCTAGATTGGAGTTACAGTCGGCCCTGGATGCTGAAATAAGGGCCAAACAAGCCATCCAAGAAGAACTGAATAAAGTTAAAGCATCTAGCATCATCACTGAATGGTAAGATTGAGCAATATCTAAGTTTGTAAAAAAAAAAAAAAAAAAAAATTAGAGCTTTCAATTTGGGGAAAAAAGCGATGACCACAGAAAGCTATGGATATTGGAAAATAAATGATGCTTTCAAGTCTTGTAGGTAGTAATAAGATTTTAATATAGCCTTGCTTTCTTCTGACTTGTATAAGTAAGATTATTTTACCCTAAGTATTATATTTTCCACTTATGAAATTAGTTGACTCTCCAGTACTTTCCAATTAAATGTAAAAAAAAAAAAATGTTTGTATAGAAATGCAAACTATGTTCAGAGCATGCAATCTTGAAATTATGATCTCTACCATTGACCTTTCATAGTGAATTTCATAATAACATGTTATCTATTAGTTGTAATCATTATTTTTCATGTTCCTATGTTAAAAAACAGTATCTCTCATAATCTGAGACAATTCACCAATGAAAACATTCCCTCAATTTTTGTAACACTAGAGAAAACATGCTCTTAATACAAAAATGATAAAAATAATTGGATTTAATATTACACATTTGAAACTAGGTCACTGTAAATGATAAAGGAAAAGTTCAGATCATATTACAAATGAAACTAAATATGAAACTCTGTTGGGCTTTCGGTGTACCAAAAGTTCCAAGAGTAAGGCAATGCCTAAGAAATTCAGTTTTCAGTGGTAAAAGGCTGAGTCCTTAAACTGCCATCATTAATGTTTTGAATTATATTAAAAGTCAGGTACATGGTGCCCTGGTTGATTTATACACTTTTTATTTATGTACTTTATTGTAAATGATACACACATAAATAAAATGTACTTAACTGTGCTAATGTGATGAAATTGACAGAGGAGTACTTTTTCTAGAGATTGTTAATTGATTCCAACATAAAAGGCTACTGAACAGTATTTTTGGTGTTATACTGTGGAATAAGAGTGAGTTTTCCTTTTTTATGATGAGAACATATGAGTTTGTTTTTTTAATGAAGTATATGACAGTAAAAGTTATAAACTTACATTAATACACTCTACTCTCATGGTTGTCAGTGGTGTCTAATGTTAAAATTAATTACTGATTTTGTGGCATTTTTAAAATTTATTGCTCAAATTAAGGAAAAATATCTTGGGCCTTTGCAGACTTCCTGGTAACTGCTGGCCTCTGCTATTGTAGTACATAAACAATTGTAGTTACTACTGAAATGAATGGGCCTGGCTCTCTCTAGTAAAATTTGGTTTTGTTGAAATTGTAGGCTCTGTCATGCCTGTGGTCCCAATTTAAATCAAGTAAGTCCAGTAGCATACAAGATTACTTACTTGGGAGCAATGTTGTGGTGCAGTGAGATGATCCACCACCTGAGATGCCAGCACCCTATATGTCACTGGGTCCAGTTCTTACTACTCCACTTCGGATCCAGCTCCCTGTTGCTGAGCCTGGCAAAGCAATGCAAGTGGTCCAAATGCTTATGCCTCCTACCACCTATATGGAAGACTGAGATGAAGCTCCTGGCTTGTTAATTCAGCCTTGCGCAGTGCTGAGCATTGCAGCCACTGGTGAATGAAACAGTGTAATATATGGAAGAACTGTGTTCTTACTAACAGAGCCTTTTATTTTTTTAAAGATTTATTTATTTATTCATTCATTCATTTTTTTTTATTATTAATTACATTGCATTATGTGACACAGTTTCATAGGCTCTGGGATTCCCCCAACCCCTCCCCATGCCCTACCCCCATGGTGGATTCTTCCACCTTGTTGCAGTAGTACAGTTCAAATTAAGTCAAGATTCTTGCATTGCAAGCATGTACCAAGCATAGAGTCCAGTATCTTACGGTCCAGATAAATTCAACAATTACTTGGGGAGACCATCTCTGGTCTGAAGGTAGAGCTGGCAGAATATCATCCCGATCAATTAAAAGCCACAGCATAACATCAACAACAATTTACAATATTATGGAATTATTTGATATGGTATTGAGTAACCAATATGTTAAAAAATGCAAGTTCTTAACCACATCCTGTGACTACTTCATTGACATTTCAATTTTAGTTTATATACAACCTGCTTCTATACACCTTTAAATGGCTATAGGGTGTTATTCAGCTGTCTTGTGTCTATTTTCATTTTAGTATTTAGCAGTTTATAGTAACACAGCTTTTTAAATAAATAAATCTTTAAAAAAGATACATCACTAAAAATTGATGAAGCGTTTCTTTTTTTCTTTCCATTCAAGTAAACTAAAAGATTCAGAAAAGAAGAACTTGGAACTGCTGTCAGAAATTGAACAGTTGATAAAGGATACTGAAGAGCTTAGATCTGAAAAGGGTATGAAAATAACTTTGCATACTCTAGAATGTACTGTTCCATATGAGTACATCCTATTACATAAGAATCAGGAATATGTATATAATTGTGTGATACATACATATACATTTAGATGGAATAGTCTCTGAGTCATTTTGTTTTACTTGTTAGATATTGTTCAAAGATTTCGTGGTCACTTTTCCATGAATTTGCCTTTTTTCAGTGCAGTGGACTGTATCAGGAATAACATTTTATGATGGATGGAGTTATTTTTATATTATACCTTTTGATAGTCTCAGCTATCTTTAAGACACTAACAGTGACAGTGTGTATTAATGTACAGAACTTGGTGGGAATACCTAAATATAAATATTTGTAATTTTTAGGTACCCAGAATGTGCAAAATCTTACCAGGAGGATCATGTCTAGGGTAGTTGAGGCAACAATGTATAAAGTAACTGAAGATGAATCTAATTCAGTATTAATATAGTTTTTCTGTAATGCTGAATTATCTTGGCATTTCAGTGTCATCGTTTAGTTGGATACTTGTTACTTGCTTTGAAAAACTTCCTAGGGCTTATTACTATTTTCTTGAAATTTTACCTGAGATTTTTCCTGATAATGTGATAGCTGACTCATAGTGCTTGATAACTTTATGACATGAACTTAGTATTTATTTCCATATTGTGTATATTAAGAATCTTGAGGGCTGTGTTTTGACACCAGAGTTAAGATGCCACTTAGTACCTGGGTTCAGGTCTAGGCTGCACTTTTGGTTGCAGCTTCCTGCTAATGCACATCCTAGTGCAAGTACTTGGATCCCTACTTACCCACATGAGAGACCTGGATGGAGTTCTGTGCTCCCAGCCTCAGGCTGGCCCCTACCCTGACAGTTGCAGTTGTTTGAGGAGTAAAATAGTTGAAGAGATATACCTGAGTCTTTGTCTCTCTGTCTTTCAATAACAACTTCATAAAATTCAGACTTCTTTTTATTTAAAAGTTATGTATTTGCATGAGAGGCAGAGTTACAGAGAAAGAAAGAGGCAGAGAAAATGGTATTCCATTTGCTGATTTACTCTCCAAATAGCTGCAATAACTGGCTGCAAGGCTGAAACAAGGAACCAGAAAGTCTGTTCAGGTTTCCCAAGTGGAGAGGAGAGGTCCATCCTCTGCTGCTTTTCCTGCATTAGCAGGAAACTGGAGTGTAAGTGGAGCAGCTGGCACTCAAGGGATTACCTGCATTGCAGATGGCAGCTTAAGCCTCTTAGATACTCCAGATTGTAGAGTGTCATTCTTCTTTTTAAAGATTTGTTTCTTTCTATTAGAAAAATAGAGTTAAGGAGAGAGAGGGGTTGGAGGCAGCAAGAGTTCTTCCATCCACTGGTTCACTCCCGAAGCCAAGGATCCAGGATCACATGATGTCACATCTGGGTACAGGGGTTGAATGACTTGTGTCATCCTCCATGGTCTTCCTAGGCCATTATCAGAGAGCTGGGTCAGAAGTGGAGCCACTGGGACTCTTAACCAGCACCCACATGGAATTCTGGGGCTGCAAGTGTACACTTAGCTTGCTGTGCTATGGCTCCAGCCCACAAAGTGTTGTTTTTAATGCAAGGATCTCATTTATGCAGTTATTTATAAGTTATTTTCCCGACCATGATTGTCACCAAATACCAAGCTGTTTAGTGGAATTCATATTAGGCTTAAGTGTTTTCCTATCATTGTCATACCCTCAACACAAAATGAGATAAAGTTGGATGGGTCTGTATACCTGTAAGATTGTGGAGAATCAAGAGTAAACATATGGTAGTGTTAATAAGAAAAAGCTGTTAAAAAGTTTGTGTTGCAGTGGACATTTGGCTAGTAATCAAAATGCTCCCATCTCATAACAGAGTATCTAGTTTGGATTCCTGGCTCTACCTCCTGCTCAGACTTCCTCCCAGTGCCAACCCTGGGAAGCAGGAGTAAGGGCTCAGGTATAATTGATTCGCACTATCAACTTGAGACCTAGATTCAGTTCCTAGATCCTGCTTCAGCTTCTTCCTTTACAGACATCTGGGAACTGAACCGGTAGGAGCACATGCTTGCTTTGTGTGCATTAATTCTTAATAACTTGATATATTATTAAACTATATATAGTTAAAGTATTAGTTGATCTTCAGAAGTTTTTTTGTTAGATTTGTCACTGAACAAGGAAGGAGCCCAGAACCAACGCGTAGGAATTTAGGTGTAAAAACTTAAATATGTGGTATATACATAATGAGGGCTAGGATTTTAAATTTTCAAATTTACTGTTATATCCCCAATATCTTAGACTGTGACTGGCACATAATAGGCTGTTAGTAAATTTTTGTTGGCTGGATGAATTTCTTAGCATATCGCTTTATGTAGTAACTCTGGTATATTATCACAGAGTAATAAAAAAAGGTTATAACTTGCTTGTTATCAGTCCCTAAGTATGTGGGAGTCAAAATGTGTGATTGGTTGTTTTCTGCTTCCCTCTCCCCAGTATTTATCATTATTTATATGTCCTAAGAAATATTCTAGAAATTATGCAATTAAAGCCAATACCATAGCCAAGAGATAAGATTTTAAATTTAAATTTTTTTCTTTTAAATTCATTTGGAAAAAACTAGAGGTATGAGGATCTTCATTCTATCAGCACTACAGTGATTTACAGATAATTTTCACAATTAAGTTATTTATCTTTACATTTTCTTTTAACTCATTTATTTTATGTTAGTGCATACTGTGTGTTTCATGAGACTTTGAAAGCAGAAACCTTGTTTGGTGATAAATTAGGCTAGAAAAGTCAAACAAAAACAGACCACTGTTTTTTAAATGTTAACCTAATAATAACCTTATTATTTAAGTAATATTCTAGGAAAAATTATTTTTTGCTCGAAAAATGTATAGTTAATAATCTGAATTCGCTTTGAAATATAGTAGTTTGTTAACAGCCCTTAATAGACCAGAAAGGTTACCCATGAAAATTAGTTACGATTGTTTTGGTTTGTAAACAAGTTGCTGCTGTCTTCTAGGTATAGAGCACCAAGACTCACAGCATTCTTTCTTGGCATTTTTGAATACGCCTACCGATGCTCTGGATCAATTTGAAGTAAGTATTAAACTTTTCAGTTGTCCTCTGTGGTAAATTTACATGTTCTTTGTGATTTAAAGTTCACTTTCAATGAAATTTTTATTGGATTTTGCAAGCAAGAACTTGGAATTTCACGTAAACCAAGATCTATCAGGACAGTAATGTGTTTTGCATTCTTATAGAATGTAGTCACATTTATATTTAATAGAATATCTAAGAAAGGCCTAACCGTGAGAATCATGATAAAATTTGAAAGCAGTTTCAGCTTCTCTGAGAAACAACATAACAGAGCATATCCCAACTTTTGAAGTAATTTTGTTAGTCTTTTCTCCTCAGCATAAAACCGAAATGAAGAAATAGATGAAAATATTGAAGTTCATAATAGGGTATTTTAAGTAGTTATTCCAAGTATGCAATTTTTTGAAAGTATACAATTAGGAATGCTTTTTGTTGAAAGTATTACATAGACTCTTAGGAAGATTCCGCAAAATTGAAATAGTGGTTATGTAATTCCTGTCAGTTCTTGGTGTTTAAGTTTTGTTTATTTGCTGAAGAACAAATTTATATTATAGAGTATGATTTTGTCTTGGGAAAATTAAGGTGATGATTCTATCTTTGTTCAGCCAATTAATACATGTTTATGATCCATTGCCCCGGAAGTACTCTAGTGACCGAAAATAGACAAGGTCTCTCTCTCTTTCAAATAGCTTATGTTTTAATGAGAAGATTTAGAAGCAAATATTTTGTGGCTTGCTTTTAGTTGTTAGCTTCTAAGGTACTTACATTTAATTTGATTATTAAGGAGTTTCATTTTATTACATTTTGGGCAAAGTAGATGAATAATATTTCATCTCTTGACCAAAGGGGAAAAGAATCATTCTTTGAATAATAATAATAAGTGACCTGTAAGTTTTTTGGTACAATGAAAATGACTGCTTTTCACATTTATTTATTTGGATTAATGTCATTTGCCTTTCAATTGTTTTACAAATTTTTGATTTATTATTTGTTCTTATTAAATTGCTTCATCCATATTTTCTATTTTTTTATTGCTGTATTCGTTAAATAGGATTCCTTTTCTTCTTCCTCATCTTCACTGATTGATTTTTTGGATGACGTAAGTCTTTGATTTTCAAACCAATGCATCCTTCAGTAAATGAGATCAGTGAATTGATTTGAAGAATTTACCTTGTAATGCAGTCAGTTTTAGAAATATGACAATTAAAAATTTATCTGGGCCAAAATGTACTTATCTCTTGTCTTAAAAAAATGAAGAGATTATCATTTTTAAACAAAAAAATATACTTTGAGAAATGCTTTGGCCCATTGTGAGCCTCTATGTCCATTTTGTGCAAAATTCCAAAGGCTGGAATGTGCAAGTATTATCACTATACATATATAAATAATTGCATATTTTTAGTTTTCATGGTGATTTCGATTTTGCTTTTCCTTTTTTTTTCAGCACTGTACTGTTTAATTTCTGTTTTGGTTAAAAATAAACCTCTCATTATAATCAGAAGAAATTACACTTTTATTATTTCATAGATTTTACTGTAAAACAATGTACAAATCAATTTTAATGCTAATAGAACTTGTCTTCATGTAGAAAGTGATTTTAGTTAACATGCTATATATGTATTATAAATTGACTGCATTATTTTCTTTTCTGAATTCTTTAGATTTTGTAATTTAGAAGGTCCTATTAAACGTACATTGTTCATTCTCTTTGCAGTACTGCCTGTCAAATATGTTCTCTTTATTCCGTTTTATGTTGCCCCGTATTATTTGTTCTAAAGCATTTTGTTGTCTTAGGAAACATTTAGTCTTTCCTGAAATGAGGCAATGAAATGGGGCAAGAAAATGGATTCAAATACAAATATTGTACATAGAATTTTTTTGAAACCAGAGGAAACACTCATAGCAGTAGCACTGAACATTAAAAGTGGAAGGATACAAGAAGATTAGCATGGCCCCTATGCAAGGAAGACATGCAGATTTGTGAAGTGTTCCGTGTTAGTGATTTTAAAAAGGCAAATATTTCAATGTTCCCTTCCTTATGTTTTGCTAAAAAAAAAATGCTTAACATATTCAAAAGAGAATTTAGTATAATTTTCTACTATAAGAACTGGGTTTGAATTGTTTTAAATTATTAAAGGACTGATTTGTGTATGTTCTTAAACACAACTAAGTGTAAACTTCATTTTCAGTGGAAATTTTTTATTTTTGAGACAAGAAATTATTCTGGTTAATTTCATAGTATACGGAAAAAAGAACTGTTGATACTGAATGCTATTGCCTGTTCAATTCTGCTGTTGAGTAGATTTAAATATATTATGGCATTTCTATATAGATATCACCTGAAGAAGAATGGCAAGGAAATTTGAGTAAATTATTTTAGTTTCTTCCCCTACTAGAAAACCATTTTTTTTTATTTCTAACAATCTGCTACCTCCATCACTTTCTTCTCCAAGAAAAAATCTTTAACTGTGAAAAATAGAAGTAGTATTTGTTTTTGCAGATAAACAGGCTTTTGTCAGAAGATGCTGCAGGAATGCATACTTCAGCCCACATACCTAGGATATTTCTATTCTCACATTTCCCTGTACTGCCAATTACCCAGCTGTCACTGACCTACCAAGTCACAAGAATGTCCCTATTATTTTTCTCCCAGGAATAACACTTCTTATCCTTCAGCAACTAGTACATAGCATAGGCTCAGTTCTAACATAAAACTAAAGATTTTAGAAATACGTAGTAACTCTTAGCAGCTGTAAAAAAAAGAATTGAGTTACAAAGGCCTACGAATGTTTACGATTCATATTCCAGCCTTAAAAGGCATGACTTTTAAATTCATCATTCTCCCGGTTGATTGGTTAAGCAAATAAGCTGACTCAATTTTTGTCTATACCACCTTCTAAGCATATAGTTGAAGCAAGTTGTCTAACCTTAACCTCACCTTGCTCTTCTGACAAGTAGGAATCATCACTAACCTCATGAGGTTATTTGAATCATCACATAAGCCATGTATATAATACCTTCAATAATATCAGTTACTATTTCCTTAATGCTAACAGACATCACTTCTTTTTGCCTCTTTACCTTCCTTTCTTGTCCTTCAATTCAGTTTCAGATAAATGCTTTCTCAGTTCTTTGCTTCAGGCTTCTGCACACTAGCAATATGAATCACAATCTTTTTCTTCAGAATTGCTCAATCACATTATCACTGGAGAATGATATTTACTTGTCAGAGGGAAGACTAGCAGTAAGTTAGTCTTAATTGCTGTTTTATGGTAAAAACCTCTGGTTCTCTTGTTTATTGTAAGTATGACTACCTTTCAAAGAATTGTCATTCATTTTATGTTCAACATCATAGTAAACTGACATTTTGAACAGATACTGAAATTTTTTATATGCTTGGTTCAGTAATCTAAATATTTGATGTGAAACTCAAGATCTACAGGTCTCTTTCTGTTAGACATTTGGATTCTCAAGAATCAAACCAAATCTTAGTATGTTTTGTGTGTGTGTGTGTGTGTGTGTGTGCCAAATCTAATTATATTGTTGTGCACATGCTCATATGATTGTTCTGAATTAAGTACAGGGGTATAGCAAAAAGTTTTGGAAAATGGAAAATTGTTAGAGCAGTTTGTTGGGCTGACCTTGTAGCATAGTTGCTAAAATTTTTGCCTGTAATGCTTGCATCCCATGTGGACAGCAGTTCTTTTTATTTTAAAGATTTATTTATCATTAGAAAGGCCAATTGATAGAGAGGAGAGACAGAGAGAGCTTCCATCTGCTGGTTCACTCCCCAAACAACCTCAAGGGCAGAGCTGAGCCAATCCAAAGCCAGGAGCCAGGAGCTTCTTCTGGGTCTCCCCCATATGGAGGCAGGGTCCCAAGGCTTTGGGTCCTTGTTCACTACTTTCCCAGGCTGAAGATATCAGTGAGCTGAATTGGAAGTGGAGTAGCGGGGACAGAAACCAGTGCCCATGTGGGATGTGGACACTTGGAGGTAGGGGTCAGCCGTTGGGCCATGGCACCGGCTTCGGGTGTTCTATTTGTCCCAGATGTTCCACCTCTGATCCTGATAACAGGATCCTGGGGAAAGCTGAGAAGATGACCTAAGTTTTTTGGGCTCAGAGGAAAACCAGGGGAAGTTACTGGCACCTGGCTTTGGCTTGGCAGCCATCTTAGGAGTGAGTCAGTGCGTGGAAGATCTGTCTCTCTTTGTCTGTCCTCTCTGTAACTCTGACTTAAAAAAGAAAAAATAAGATGTGTTTTTTTTTCAGAGCAGGAGTCCAAAAGAGTTGAAGTCCATGCATATGTGAGGTATAAAAGAAATATTTGTGGCAATGTATGTTATGGGAAACTTAGGTATGATTCAAAAAATTCTTGCACCAAAACATTTCCTTTTAACTCTACTTTTTGTGGGCTTCACCAAGAACCTTCATAAGTTGTGATGTTTAATCACCTTTCTGGTCATTATTTCAGTTTTCTATCATATTGCCATTGAAAAGATGATGTTGAAGACCTAAAAATTTCAGTTACAGCTGAAACTTTTAGCTATAGAAGGGAATAAGGATAGCATAAAGCAAGGGCAGCAGAAATCATGCTTTATTGGATCCCCCTGCATTCCCTGGATCCTGTTTTCATAAGGTGTCAGCTTTACCCCCAGTGCCTCTCAGTTACCTTGTGGTTTTCTCTTCTGTATCTTCACACCTTTATGAACCTATCAAAATTATCATTCCTGTGTTTAAAACAGTACACATAATTATTTTCCCACCTATTTTCATAGCATGATCTGCCTCTTTATTCAAAATTCATGCTGGAATTGTTTTAACAATATGAAATATGCACAGCAGGATATTTTCTTTCTTAAGTCTTACTATTCAGTTAATTCCTCCTTCATTAAAAAAGAGTAACCTTGACAGAGGGAAGAGATGTGTGTAATACCAGTCACTTTCTTCCTTGTGAGAAAATGAGTGGAGGCACTGGGCGTTGCAAGAGACCTTCTCAGTACTCCCTCTGTACCATGGAAGACATAGGCATTTGAGATTTCCCTCATTTATGGTCTTAGCCTTCTGAATGAGAAAAACAGTTCACAAAAGATATATTTTGGTGTTTTCAACCATTGATTACACTCTCCTTTTAGTTAAGAGTGAGGGTCTTTATTCTTTGAGGGTTTGTATAAGTGGTGATAGTTATGTGTGACTTTCTTTAGGACAGATAAAGGATAATTTGAGTCAGTTTTGGGGGAAAAAAAGCACTTTAATAAGTGGTCTTTTGTAAATGGCATTACGTAAATACCAAGATCCATTCTGCTATGGAAATGATTCCCTTTCTCTCATTTTTTCCCCAGCTCCACATGCTGGACTGCTTCTAGTTAGTCTGTGTTAGACTGCCTCATCTTTTAGGTAATGAGCATGGTGAAGTGCAGATGGCACTCTCAAGCTTGGGTTTTCCCATCTCCTTACCCTACTCATTCATTTCCTTCAATGAGAACAGATCTGAGGATCATCACACTAAGATTACACTGCGGCAATTTTCTACTCTGTTTCGTTCTTTTTGTTTTTCTGCTGAACCAAATGCTTGACCTGATTGTATTAAAGCTAATAATTATTATAATCACAAAAATAAACAACTTGCTCTTTTTAGTTATAAGCATTGTTTCAAACAAATGCAATTGGTAGGTTTTAAGTTTATTAACTACAGTGTGCACTTTGTTCATTTAGTCCCAGTTCATACAAATGTAAATTGCAAACTTTGCTTGGCAGATCAGAGTGTTAATCTTGTTTTTTGGAGGTTGTCTTAGTCTGGTATACTAAAGAAAGAATATCAAGCAGTGGAAGCTCTAGAATATATAGGTCAAATGAAAAGGAAGAGAGTGTGTCTATGGTCCATTTCTATTCTTCCTTAATTCTTTTCTTGTATTCTGATGTGTGAGAGAAATAAGCAGTTTGAGTTTTGAGCTAAATTTGATACTTGACTTTCACCTCATTAAAATCTTGCTAAGGCATTCCAGAATACTTACCTTCAGTCTTGGCTTCCGGCTTCCTCTTTGTATTCTCTTGATTTTAACATTGTTTTTCTCCCCCCCCCCCACTTCTGTTACATTCTCTCATAATCAGCCACGGAAACCTGAGATGTGGCAGCATAATTACTCATATCTTGGAAAGTTTTTTCATATGTGAAAGTCCGCAGATGAGGGAACTTTGAAATCTGTATTTTATGTATTTTTTGATCCTATGCATAGTCAGGCATAGTTTCTTCTGAGAAATTGTGGTATTCCAGGAATTTCTCCTTCATTTTTGTTTTAAAACTTCAATCCACATACTCAGGACATCTCGTCTTGAAGATCTTGTAAATCAGGAAATTGTTACATGCTGTCCCTCTCCAAATTAAGTGGTATGTTTTATGAATATGTATTGTATGTATATCATATCAATGTTATAATTTATTTAGTCTATAAGGAAAGAACCATGATTATATAGTCCATTTCTAATTCCCTTGGTAATTTGTTTAAAGGTTTATTATGTTTGAAAGTCCCTGTGGAAATGTCCACCTGTGGAAATGTCCAGCTTAACTTGAGAAATGAGTCATACACTTTAGGAAGTGGAGACAATTGGCAATAGAGTGGGAAATGAGAGCATAGTTGTAAATGGATTAGCTATTCCAGGGAGAAGACGGATGTATGATAAGAGGAAGCAGTGAGATTTGAGCAGGATCCTGTGGTCTCCTGTATTGGAGAGATTAGGGGGCTAGCAGTCCACACACAAGAAAGAGCAATGGTAATAATGAGGTTACTTAGGAAGTTCTTATCAAAAGAACTAAGCAAGCGGAGAGTTTAGCATCCTCAGGTAGAGCAGAAGTGACTGGTTTTATAGGCAAAACAAGTTATCAGTATTAGAGTGATCAACACAGAAGCCAGGTGTTAAGAAAATTGGGAGCTTAACGAGTACCGAGAGTGCATGCTAAGTCTGGCTGGGAAAGTGTAAATCCTAGTTTCATCACTTAAGTTTTATACTTTTAGGTAAATTAATCTGCTTTCATCTTTTAAATGGGGGTTATAGTCCCTACCTTACAGGATTTCTGTGACAATTAAGAGTTTATATATGTGAAGCGCCTTGGAGAGTACCTGCATATACTTTGCACACAATAGATGTTCACTGTTAGGATTATTAAGAGAGGGGAGAGATTAAATGATAGGGGAAGTATTAGGGATTAATGGTTGTTTGGTTTTAGAGACATAGTAAAATAGTCATAATGTTATTTACTGATGCAAAGTAAGTAATTTGAATCACAGACTTTAATCTCCATGGTAAAGACTGACTGGACTGAGAAGCAAAGCCATGACTTAGAACTGTGGTTATTCTCAGTCCTGGTTTGGTCTGAACTATTTGAGACAGTGCTCAGGACACTCTTCATTCCAGTTTCCTAAAGAAAGAATTCCTGTCTTACCTGTATTGTGGCAGTAACAGTAACACTGTTAGTTTTGAACATTGTTAATTCTTAAACTTTTCTCTAAGAACTCATGAAATCCTTTAAGATCCAGTCTAAATTCTCCTCTCCATGTAAAATCTTGAAAGGCTCTTCTGTAGATTCTTATATAACCTTTTTATAGTCTTGGTGATAGCACTTGTTATGTTGTTGCATTTTTTTTCCTGCCAGTGTGTGAACTGTTACACCTTATTTATCTTTCAGTCCTTTAAAAAATCTGCATAATACCTAATACATTATAAAATTATAATGTATTTGATTAGACTGAATAAACAAAATACTTAAAAAGATGTGGTTCATACTTAAACTCCACTTAGAAATTGCAAAGCTTTAAAAATTTGAAAAATATTTTGAGGTATTTGTTACCTTCTTTTTTAATACCAAAAAAAGGTGTGGCTCCCTCTTGTGACCAAAGACAGAATGAATGTTTTTATTTTAATTCTTTACCAGTACCTCTGAATTCCTGATTTAACTCTCATTTTAAAGAATTATCTTGAAAAATAGTTTCACGAAAGACACCCATTGTAAGACTGAAGGGGAGAACAAAAGGGAGGGGAAGGAACTTGGAGAGGGAAAGGGAAATCCAGTGCCTATTAAACTGTCATAAAACAATTTAAAAAATTTTTGGTAGATGAGTGTCTAAAATAAGTTTAATATTTAATGCCTGTGAAAGCTAAATAAGACTTGTTTAAATCCTTTGTTGTCTTTTGTTTCATCTTAACCACAGCCAACCTTTCTGTACAAGAAATTGTCTACCACTTGGTACAGCATTATTTTGTGGGTCACTGTTTGCTCATGGTTCAGCAAAGACATTATCAAACTTATACGTAGTCTGAACAAGTATTTGTTTACTGTCTTATTCTGGCATTATCCCTGAAAATATGTGTATTTCAAACTATGTAGAAACTCAGCTTTATGTGTATGTTTTTATACTTGTCTGTTAATGCTGTAATAGTCATTGAGACTTTGGTGGATAAGTATTTGTAACATGTAGTATTCTCCTTTCTCTGTTGAAGCGCTCTCCATCCTGTACTCCAGCTAGCAAAGGCAAACGTGTAAGATATTGTTGCACTCTGTGTACCGTCCTAAGGCTTTCTACCCCTAAGTCTTACCTTTTTGCCTGTGATTGCAAAATTTGCTGAAGGTTTTGTGATATACTAAGATACTTACTGCATGCTTTGTGCTGCTGCTCCCGCTGTTGCTACTCTGGCATTCTGTGTATGTGGATTTTTTTTTCATTTTTAGCTTTGGCTGTCAAGCTTTAGGAATGTTTATTTAAATTTCTGTGGCTTAATTTCTAAAATAATTTTTAAATTTTGAGTGTGGGGGGAAATAGTTATAAAATATGCTAAATCAAATGCAAGGAAACAAGTTCCTAAATAAGAATCTGATATAAGCAAGCACAGAGGTTTCTTACTGACTTTAATCTTTTATTTATGAAGAAAATGTGATCATTTAGTACAAAATTCAGGAAAGATTTTGAGATTATAGATTTTTTTACTACAGATTTATGTAAATTATTCATGGGTTTGGGGGGGCATTTATGTTTTTTAAGGTTTGATGATGTTTACATAGTTGATTAGGGTGGGAAAGGTCAAGGATTAGAGAAAAGTAGGTGAGACTGTTACTTCTAAATTTCCTTCTTCCTGTATCCTTGAGATGGCAGGGGCGGGGGAAGGGAAGGGTGACTTAAGAGGAGAGCTGTACTCAGCCTTCCAACTGCCTCAACACCCAGAGATGGGGAACAGCCATCCAGTATCATCCCAGGGTCCCTGGTGTGAAGCATGCACCAAGGGTTTTGCTCAAGTGGTTTCAGTAATTCGGAAATGCTGTTGATTTTGCTGATCCAAGGATGATGAGCTCCTTTCAAGGTTCTTTGGCTAACATAGTTCACTTTAGAGTCTCCATTCACCCAAATATTTGCTGTTAACACTTTGCTGTGGTAGTTGTCCAATTTGTTCTGCCATCCTTCCTCCGCTATAGTACCACATGTCATCTGAAGGCTCTAGTGGACAGCCATATCCTCCATGTGCATCTGGATATACTGTCCACTGTTCCGCCTAAGCCTTGAGTGGGTTTTGTATGTAGTTCAAGGGAATCCAGTTTGTATAGGAAGCAATGTTCATAAAATCTTTTAATTCCAAGTTTTATAAAATACCTAACGTTATTTATGTATCATTAACCAATTATAAATATCTTACTATGTTAATACTATCTCCATATTTCACAAGCAGAAATGAGTTATGTGCCACTTGTATTTATCACAATTAGCAATCTATTGTGTAAAAAGATTTCAAATTTTTCTTAAGCAGCCTCCATCCTACCACCAATTATTTATACAATATATATTTTTCAGGTCAAGCAGTTTGTTGGCTTACAATTTTTATGTTCAAAAATTTTTTTTGAGATTTATTTATTTACTTTCAACATCAGAGTTACAAAGAAAGGAGAGACAGAGAGACATCTTCCATCCTCTGGTTTGTTCCCCAAATGGCCACAATGTCCAGCACTAAGGCAGATGAAAATCAGGAGCCCAGAACTTCTTCTGGGTCTCCCACATGAGTGGCAGGGGTCCAAGCATTAGAGCCATCTTCCACTGCTTTTCCCAGATCACTAATACAGAACTGGATGGCAAATGGAGCTGCCACCACGTGAACTAGCACCCATTATAGGAAGCCAGCAACTGATAGGCAATTACTTGACAAGAGGAAACTTAGCGATACATACATTTTTTACTTTTATATGTCAGTTTCATAGCCATTGGGATTTTTAACGAGTTAAATAGTGAATTCTTGGACTTTTAGTGTTCACTAGCTTATTGATGATGATTGTTTTGTCCTTTTGTTCAGTCACCAAATGGCCACAGCAGTCCAATGCTGGGTCAGGCTGAAACCATGAGCCAGACCTCTGTCTGTCTCCCACATGAGTGGCAGGAATCTGAGTATTTTAAGCAGTCTCCTCTGCTTCGCAGGCACAATAGCAGGGAGCTGGATTGGAATTCTGAAGTAGAATAACCAAGATTGCAACTGGTGCTCCAGTATGGGATCTTGGCTTCCTAGACAACATTATAGCCTGCTGTAATACAATACAAATCCCTGGATTATCTAAGTATTTTCTACTAGGAATAACACTCTTTTACCTCATTCAGCTAAGAAAATCATTTTGAATGTATTTTTTCCTGCTATTTTTTTTCTTCGTTGATGACCAGAAGCTAGTTAGAAGGAAAAGAATTCAACAATTGTTATTAATTCTTCAGCACACGTTACCTAGCTCAAAAATCAGCCTCAAACCTCATCTTTTTCTGTTATAAATGAAAAATTCTTGGCCTATCTTGCTTTTGAAGACATTTTGAAATAATTTGGCCCATTAGTCGATTCACAGCATTACGTTTTACATAACAAATTTTTGTTTTGTGTTTGGGATTTTCTTAAAATGGCTCAGTTTTTACACACAGTAAATCCTGTACTTGGTTCCTGCCTTGAAATTTCATTAGGTGATTATTTGAGTCCATGTCAGGTTCTCACTTTGCAAAAATAGCCTTCTGGCCGGGAACTGTAGCCTAGCGGCCAAAGACTTCACCTTGCATGCACCGGGATCCCATATGGGCACTGGTTCTACTCCTGACAGCCCCACTTCTGATCCAGCTCCCTGCTTGTGGCCTTGGAAAGCAGTCGAGGATGGCCCAAAGACTTGAGACCCTGCATGCATGTGGGAGACCCATAAGAGGCTCCTGGCTCCTAGGTTTGGATCAGCTCAGTTCCAGCCATTGTGACCACTTGGGGAATGAATAAGCAGATGGAAGATCTTCTTCTCTGTCTCTCCTCCTCTCTCTATATCTGACTTTCTAATAAAAGTAAAAAAATCTTTTTTTTTAAGATGTTTTAAAAAATTTTTTATCGGAAAGGCGGATATACAGAGAAGAGGAGAGACAGAGAGGAAGATCTTCTGTCCGATGATTCACTCCGATGATTCACTCCCCAAGTGACCACAACAGCCGATGCTATGCCAATCTGAAACCAGGAGCCTCTTCCGGGTTTCCCACACGGGTGCAGGGTCCCAAAGCTTTAGGCTGTCCTCGACTGCTTTCCCGGGCCACAGGCAGGGAGCTGGAAGGGAAGCGGGGCCGCCGGGATTAGAACCGGCACCCATATGGGATCCCGGGGGCTGCAAGGCAAGGACCTTAACAACTGCGCCACCGTGCCGGGCCCAATATATCTTTTTTAAAAAGCTTTCTAGTATTATACATTTATAATCTTGCAGAAACTAGAAGGTTTTCCAATAAATAAATAAATCTTTAAAAAAAATTAATAAATAAAGTTAACTTCTAGGGAAACCTTTTTTTTCTTTTAATATGTTTCTGTCTTCCCAGAATTTTCAAAGGTTTGGTTATTTATTTTTCACATATGAGATTCATGATTGTCCAAATTAGCAATTCTAAAAATTCTGCTTCATCAAAACATTATAAAAACCAAAGCTAGATCTTCCACCAGTGCTGTGTATGGGTACATTATGTCTTCTTCCTAAAACAATAACCAAAATAACACAGAAAAATACTTTAAAATATATTTGGGTTTTTTTAAGATTTATTTATTTTTATTGGAAAGTCAGATATACAGACAGGAAGATCTTCCAACCACTAATTCACTCCCCAATGGCCTCAGTGACTGAAACTGAGCCATCTGAACCAAGGAGCCAGAAGCTTCTGGCTCTCCCACATAGGTACAGAGTCCCAAGGCTTTGGGCTGTCCTTGACTGCTCTCCCAGGCCACAAGTAGGGCGCTCACTGGGAAGTGGGACAACTGGATTAGATAATGACTTACTTATTGATTTGTCTATTATTAACTAAATATTGTTGTATAACATTCAGACAAGCTCCTCATCATCCTTTCATCCTTTCTAAATTACTTTTTTTTTCTGGTTACATTTTTTTCCCTTCTATTTTATTTTTAATTTTATGATACAATTCCATAGGCTCTGGAATTTCCTTTATCCCCTCTCCAAGTTCCCTCCCCCCACTCTGATATCCCCCATATTTTATTACAATAATATAGTCCTTCATAAGCAGTCATTAGTTCATCAGTCTGTTATTTAAACATGTCCTGACATTGAGGATACAGACAATGGTAGGCAGTCCAGGATCCTATTGTCAAGATATTTTACCAGATTCATTGGAAGTACAGATGCCTACTACATTGTATCTTCACATCTGGATATGATAGTCTCTATTACACAGTTACTAGACATTCCTGTAAATGAAAACAAATTCAACAGGAATAAAGTGTAAAAAAAAATTTACAACACCATGGAGTTTAGAATAAACTATGTGTCAATGAAGAAATGGAAACAAAAACCTTCTTGAAGAAAGTGATGCTACTGTATGAGCTATGAGTCAGTGAAGAATTTAATAAGAGAAAAGAAACTATTTGGAAGAAATGAAATTAAAAGTATCAAAGCCCATGAGTTGCAGGCAAAACAGGATTGACCTTATAATTTGCATGAAGTTTGCCTTATATCAGGACATATGGTATTTGTCCTCTTGGGATTATTTCACTGAGCATAATGTTCTCTAGTTGATACCATTTAGTTGCAAATGGTAGAATGTAATTCTTTTTAATGGCTGAGTTATACTTCATGGAGTAAATGTACCGCAGTTTCTTTAGCCACTTCTCTTTGGATGGGCATCTGGGTTGTCTCCATGTCTTTGCTACTGTAGATTGTGCTGCTATAAATAGTGGGTTACAGATCTCTGTTTCATATGAAGATTTCATTTCCTTTGGATATGTTCCTAGGAGCAGGATAGCAGGATCATACAGCAGACTTATTTGCAGTTCTTTAAGCACTTGCTATACTGACTTCCATAATGGTTGTTCTAGGCTGCACTCCCACCAAGAGTGAAGGAGGGTACTTTTCTTCCCACATGCACCCAAGCAGGTGTTGTTAGTAGGGTTATGACTGTAGGCGGACCTATCATTATCACTCAGTCCTGGTAAATTAACAAATTGCTGTAGTGAATATATCATTCATCTTCATGCTTCCTAAGGTCGTCTTTGCCAAATTTTTGCCCAAGATATTTTCATTTCTTGAATGTTCTTGGTTTAGAAGGATGCAAGTGAATGTAAGTGCTGGTGTTTCTATTGCTGCAAAATTAAAAAGCGGGATTTTTAGTGGTAAACAGAAAGCTGATTGGTTAGTTTCTTTTCTTTCATTTAATGCCTAATAGTAAAAATTTCATCTTATCCACAGTATATATTATATATGCTGGGCTTTTTTTTACATGTAAGATTTTTTTTAATAAAAAATCATAGTGGAAAACAAATTTGAAATACACAGTACTTGAAGTAGGAAAGCATCACTGAAGATTGGGAAGGAGCCTTGTTTATGGTTTTGTTAACCTTTGCTTACATTAAAGCCAGTGTGTGGGTTTGTTTGATGATACATTGCTAAAATCGATGTTAAAGTAAAATTTTTGCCCACATTCCTCAAGAAAAGTCATCATCATGCCTTTCAGAAATGTGCCAAGAGCTTGCACATTGTTTAAAAGTGACTTTTTGGATTTTTGTTTTTCCTGACTTGTTTTCTTATGCTGATCCTGTTGAAAGCATACATGTATGGAATCCCAGCATCAAGGGCCCATTAAGGGCCATATCTTCTTCTACATCTAGGGACACTGAGCCAGTTAACTTGTGTCAGGAAGGAAGGAATGGAAAAAAAAAAGTGAACCCTGTCTCTCTTCTCTTAATTAAATATATTTTGCTTGCAGTCTATTGGAGAGCTTTCATCTACCTGATAATGTAGATAGAAATAAAAAATTGAAGCAGATTATTCCCAGGAGTTCAGTCTGAAATAGACAAATAAATGAGCAGTAAAGATAAAGCAGGTCTTAAAAATCCTCACTGGTAGCAGCAGGATAGCTTATTCTAGCAGCTAAGTCAGCAGCAGACCTTGAGATAAAACTGTGTTTATGCTCCTTGTCAGTCAATGATTTTAAGTAGCCAGGTTGGCCACTTTTCTCAATAAAAGCCATTTCCTCCACCAGGCAAAAGAAATGTGTTGTATTTCAGTTTGTACCATATTGTCTCAAGAGGCAGTTTTGGATCCTCATTCAATGTTGCAATTCAGACATAATTTCTTCACATCAAATTTTATGTTACTTTATAACCTGCAAAGCTGTCCAGCATTTCTGTGGCAGCAGATAGTCCTTCTGAAAATCAATGTGCGGGGAAGTGTTCAGTCAGGTTTTGATGTGACTCTGTCAGATTCCTTACTAAGACCTGTGCTCTATAGTTACATGTTTAATTTTTAATTTTTAAATTTATTGAATTTTATCATTAAGTCAGATTTATAAAGAGGACAAGAGACAGAGAAGATCTATTGTCTGTTGATTCACTCCCCAAGCAGCCGAAACAGCTGAAGTTGAGCCGATCCGAAATCAGGAACCCATACTCTTCCAGTACTCCCATGCAGGTCCAGGGCCCCAAGGCTTTGGGCTGTCCTTGACTGCTTTCCCAGGCCACAAGCAGGGAGCTGGATGGGATGAGAGGCTGCCAGGATTAGAACTGGCAACCAGATGGGATCCTGGTGCATGCAAGGCAAGGAGTTTAGCTACTAGGCTACTGTGCTGGGCCCATGTTTTATTTTATGAAAAATATATCAAACTTCCAGAGAATAACTGTGTACCTATCATCTACAGATTTCATAGATGGCAAAAATTTGCCTTATTTTAAAATAAATTTTGTTCAAAGAAAGATATTCCAGAAGCAGTTAAAATGTCCCTACTTTTACCATTACCCTCTTCTTCCCCAGGTGTACTCACATATTCTGAAGCTAGGTTGTATCCTTCTTTCAGCATGTTTATTAGTTCATTTGTGTTCATAAACAATATTCAGTAACACATGTCATGTTAATATTAATCATGTATTTTTGAGTTATGCAAATGTTACCTGTGCCCTGCAGGGTTTTTTTTTTTCATTCAGTATTGTTTTGAAGTGTAATCAAATATAGACATGTCTCTTCATTCATTATGCTTGATGCCTAATAACCTTGAATAAATATACCACAACCATCCATTTTTGTTGGATATTTAGATTGTTTACAGTTGTCTAGTAGACAGAAAGTGCTGAAGTGACCATCTAATATTTATCTGCATTTGCAGATTGCAGAATTTGTTTAGTATACACACTTAGAATTGGAATGGCTTGGTTATATGACATATGCTTTGGCAGTTTTATAATATCTTGCCAAATTGTTTTTCTGTAGTGCAGTTTTCATTCCCCCCTGCAGTGTAAGAGTTTCCCATGTCTTCTCCGCTTCTTGCTACGCCTGATACTGTCAGTCACATATTTTTGCCAGTTTAATGGGCTTGAGTGGCATTTTGTTTTGATCTTTCTTGCTCTGTTTTCTGGTGTTAGTGTGTCTTAATATGTTTACTGACTTTTGATGATTTGTTCGAATCCTTGTCCATTGTTCTAGTGATTTACTTTTTTTTTTTTTGTAAATAGTCTTTATATATTGTAGGTATTGGATAATTGCTGGCTTACATGCATTGCAAATATTTTATCTCCTAGTCTGAGTTATTTTAAAATTTTATTTGTGGTATCTTTTAGCCGTGCGATTTTTTTATTTTAAAGAAGTCAAGTTTATTATCTCTTCATTTTTTTTATGTTGTATTAAGCTAGCTCTTTCCTATGCAGAAGATATTGAAATTTTCTTCCATGTTTTCTTTTAAATTTTAAAATTTTGATTTTACATGTTGAGGACTTTGGTGAGATTGAAATTTGATGTTGCGTAGAATAGGAAATGGAATGTAAACAACTGGCTCCCGTGACCCCAGATTTGTAGTGCCATCACTACATGGGTCTGTTTGCAAATTTTCTGTTCTCTTCTACTTTGTGTTATTTTTTTCACTGAACCCTCATTGTTTTGATTACTGTTAGCCTGAAATAATTCTTGATGCTTGGCACTTTTAGGATCATCTTGTCAGACTCCATGTGGGCTTTTGATTGAAATTGTATGAGTTTGTACTTTTATTTGATAATAATTGACATCTTCATATTGGGTATTTCTATCTGTATATATGGTTTATAACTAATTAGGTATTCTTGTACATCCTTTACTTTTAATTATTTTCAGGATATTTCATATTATTAGGTTTGTTCTTTGAAACCATATTTTTGTTGCTATGCTTGATGAAATTTTTAAACAATGCATTTTCTTAAGCATTGTTAGACTTCCTAAACCCTGTTCATCTTTTATCCAGCGCTCTTGTTTGACTCTTTAAATTCTATTAACTTCTCATAGACTTGCTGTGTAGCTTCTTATGACAGTGTTGTTTTGTTAATTTTTATTAAATTTTGTGTAGATTTTCATTTTTCTTCTCATTCATACTTATATTTATCATCCCAAATGTTAAGTTACATATTTCTTCAAAACCTTTTCAGGTTATTTAAAAGTAAATAGATTTTAATTTAGTACTAAACTCAAAAAACGTTTAAGAGATTAAACTAAGGCTATGATTCATATAAAAATCTCTCTGTTTTTCAGGCTGTACTGTAGCAAAGCAAACAGATCATCCATCTCTCTTAATATTTTACAATATTCTATAACTTTTAAGAACTGTCTTTTTCTCGTTTGCTTTCTTATCATTCTAAAGGTTATTCTGTTCTTTCCCATAATAACATCCAGTAAAAAAAAAATCATTCACTTTTTCTTCAAAGAAATATCTTACAGCAATATAAGACCTAAGTTTTGCATAGTTAATTAGTAGGTATAATTTATAATTGAACATATCATTCCTATAATAATAAATCATTTAACTCCCTTAAAAAAATAACTTGTTCACAGAAATCCCATTAATTCCAGTCTCTCTAAATTAAAATCTACGATTGATTTATGTTCTGTGGAAGTATTTATGTTATGTGGAAGACAAGCAGTTTAAAAAGTCTTCTGAATATTTTATCAGTAAATCTTGCTACAAAAAATCGGATACTTTTTAGATTGAATTTGGCAAATTGAGATGAATGTAAAAACTAACATCTTCATTTTTATATAGACTACATGGTAAGAATTTATATTCTGGAGATTTTCTTTTCCAGATGTTTATTTTTAAATTTCCAGACTGAGACATTTACTAACTGAGCAACTGTTTCATTGGTATACATTATAAGTAGAAAATTTAACTATCAACACTGAGAATATGAGCTTCTTTGAGGCTTTTTTTAAAATAGAATTTTGTGTCTCATTGAAGTGTAGCATTATTTTACTTACTGTGGTTTTCTTCTAGTTAATATTTGGAATAAATGGAATGTTTCATGACATTTATATCCTCTCTTTGCTCCTGGGTTCAGACTGTAGACTCTACTCCACTGCCAGTTCATACACCAACCTTAAGAAAAAAGACATGTCCTGGTTCAACTGGTGTCCCACCAAAGGTACTTACCTAATTATAAAACTACCATGCTATGTTTTTTTCCAAAAGAGAGAGTGGACTTCTTCTGCTTTGTATATTTGCTGTGATTTCATTTTTCATTTTGGTTTCTTCATAATTCACACAGCAGAGTAAAGTAACAGTTGTTTATTATAAATTCATTTACTGTCCACATATGCTAGGCATTAGCCTGGAAAAATAAGTGGTATCCTGAAGAGAGAAATTTGCATTAGCTTACTACGGTATAAGTCAAACAAGACAGGAATCTCTCCCGTGTTTAGACTGGATTCTGTCTCGCATCAATGTGTTTTTTTCAGAGTAATACTGCCTCTTGCTGTGGGTAGAAACAGATTTCTGAAGCATTTTAGTTATTATTGGTGATAAAAAATTGAACACATGATTCACAGAAGAAATAAAAATTGTAATTGTTCTTTGTTCTCAAGAAGTATAAAGCATATTAAAATTCTGTTTGTATGGGGACAAATATGCAGATTTTATTTACCATTTTGGTAAAGAATAGTTTGAAGAATTTATAGAAATTCTTAAACTCTATAACCAAAAATCCCAAAAATACTACAGCTATTTTATACACTTTCAAACTATATTCAAGAGTAATTAACTTATCATTTAATTTACAAATTATTTTAGCTTAGGATAGTTTGGTATTGCCTGCTAAAAATACCTAAATGTCATAAAGTATAAAAACGTACCATGCAAAATAGAAAGAAATCATCTTTTCTTGATTCAGAAAACATTGTAGTAGGTGATGTGGGATATAGAGATTTACCTTTGGGATCATTTAATAAGTAATCAGTGTATTTTTTTTTTTATCAATTTGCTTTATAGCGCAAGACTCACCAGTTCTTTGTAAAATCTTTCACTACTCCTACCAAATGTCATCAGTGTACCTCTTTGATGGTGGGTTTGATCAGACAGGGCTGTTCATGCGAAGGTAAGAACACAGTGAAAAGGAAATGTCACTTTAAAGTCCTAAGATTTATTGCCGAAATTGTATTCAGATAATCTGTTCCCTTTAAAAGGTGCATAAAATGCTACCTGCTGTAGGTTTCACTTAATATTTGTTTTTCTTTGGGTAACAGGAATGGATCCTATAAACCGAACATCTTGCTATGTTGAATGTTAGGGAAATTAATGGTCTCCAAAAATGTTTTCCAAGGGACATATATTGAAATTTCATTCATCTTTGTTTTATTATTTGAGTGAACTTGTCTTCAAAGCACTATCAATGAGTATGACAGAAGATAGGAAAATTATCCTTAGAGAAATCATTATTGAGAAATAGGGTACTCCTTTCAGCAATACACATACTCAAATTGGAACCTTGATCAAGAATGATTCAAAAATCATGAAGTATTTTGTAACTTTTCACTGTACTCCTAAATCTTTATTGTGAAATTTGTTTACTTTATGTAAATAAAATAAGTGATTTTAAAAGGAAAGGCAATTAGTATATATTCAGAAATATTAAAGGTCTGCCATTATGCCTTAAAATTTATGTTGTATTCGAGTGATCCTTCACCCATTCATTGGTTCATCCATCTCATGAGTGTGGAATGCCTCTTCACACTGGCAATGCCATAGCGGACAGGAGAAAGACAAAAGTCCTTTCCTCCTGCTGTTTACATTGTGAAAAGTGGGAGAGAAAGGATCAAATGCATATGAACAGAAAACAGAATTTTTGTTTAGGCATGACTTAATGTTTTCATGAGACCTCTAACATGAAAATGATTTACATTATGATTTGATATATTTGTGAAAATTTTAGAACCTACTTTTTAATTGAAATTTGTGACTTGTCACTGCAGTACTACCATTTATCCAAATTTCTTGTCTTATGAATGAGATTAAGGAAATAATCATTAATTCTAATGCTAATAATAGATTCCGTTCTTCCTTAGTTCTTCTGCTCTTAGTATTAAAGAGACTGAAAGTGAATGTAATCAATCTATAAGAGATGCATGTGTTCTCTTTATAATATAATTAGCTATATTTCACTACTTTGTGGAAGGGAGAAATCAGTAATTTCTTTAAAGTAATACATTCTATTTGGTTCTCATAACTAAAGTTAAAGATCTAAATTTCATTATCATGATTTATGGCCAGAGAAATTGGTCAGGATTTTAAAGTAGAGATTTAGTAGATATGGGTGTATAAAGTCATCAATAAAATTGTCCAGGACACACCTGTAGATTGAAAAGAGAGCAAGAATGAGGACAAAGCTTTAAGGAAAGGCAAAAAGTTAAAAATAGCCAAGGCTCTGAAAAGAAACAATTGTGTCTTTAATAAGGAAGGCATGAGAAAGGAAGAGTATTTACAGTTTTCAAGCTTTGTCTTGTTTTTGGAATCTAGCCAGTACTTACAGGTTGTTTTAGAAATTTATCTAGCTTTAAGTCTCATAATTTTTTATGTATCAGAAATATTTGCAATTTATTAGTAGGAATTTTTGAGACCTTCCTTGGCCCTCTTGTAGAAGAATGTTTTGCTATGGCTGTGCCTTTTTGTCAAACCCTTTGAAGTCTAGCTTTTAAAGCTATAGAAACAATAGAACATCTCCAGCCTTTGACAGGCTGTTGTAATGTTTTCATAACATGATCACATCGTATAAGACTTCATTTCTATTTCTTCCAGGTCGGTTGGGATTAGGTATAGTATAGATATCTTACTTGGTTTTGCAACCCTTTGGAGATAGAATTTTGTTTTTCTATCTCCAAATTATATCTTGTTAGGCACTTAACTTGAAAGTAAATTGATTAGTTTGGGTAATTTTGAGCAGTTAATGCTGTTCCATTTTGCTGTATTGATCTCATAATATCCATTAGTGACATATTAATCTTTTCCACCATTTTTATGCATTTTTTGCATTCCCACCATATTTCATTAGTTCCCTTTAGTCTTTTTTTTTTCAAATTGTTTTTTTTTTTTTGACAATCTTTACATAGTTAATTTGGGTATTCGCTTTAGTCTTTTTCCCAGTATTCCCTAGGATCCACTCTTAGAGTAGAAATTGTCTAAATGAATAATCTTTGACAGTAACTGCTCACAAGTTTGCTTGCTTTAAATATTTTAACCTTTAATTTCTCACTGTAACTTACGAGTTTACGGTCTTGTCTTAGAAGCTCAAGTTCACAGTATGAGTATCAAATAGAAATATCATGACCATGTTGTTAGTGTTTATGCAGGCCCTGAGCCAGACTACCGAGCCCCAAATTTCAACACTGCCCCCATAGGAGGTCTGACCCTGGGCAGTTGCAGTGTTACATAGGAATAATAAATGTACCTCTTTCTGACTGCATGAGAGGAAACTAAGCTCAATAATCTTATCATATTGGAGTAGTTACAATAGATAATAACATTTAAAAATTCTTAAAACTTATCCTTCTATATCTTTGTAAACATGCAGAAATCCTTTTCCTTGCAAGAAGGATTTCTAAAATTTGCCAGATGTGACAGATTTAAAGAAGCTTTCAGAGAACTTTGAATGATCTTTGAAAGACAAATTAAAGACATATCAAGGTGCAGTGAGACAAAGAGCTACTCTAAAAACTACTAGGAATTGTTAAGCTTAGTGCTCACTTCGACAGTGCATATACTAAAATTGGAATGATGCAGAGAAGATAGCATGACCCCTGTGCAAGGATGACATGCAAGTTTGTGAAACAGTCCATATTTTTTAAAAAGAGAAATTTAAGTTTAAATCACTGTTATTTTCAGGGTTGGTTGTTTTTCTGTTTGCTTCCTGTTTTGATAATTAATGGTAACACAAAGCATAATGTTACAAGTAAAAAATTGTTGTTTTTCATAAAAATTCTTAAGCAGGTAACTCCACGAATGATAGAATTGAAACTAAAATCAGAGTTAAGCAGATTGTTCCAACATAGCATTTTGCATGCAGTGAGTGCTCAGTGATTTTTGGGTTTTGTTAAAATACTTTTTTTTTCTTTCTCAAAGTGTGTGGATTCTCATGTCATATAACTTGTGTGAACAAAGCTCCAACAACTTGTCCAGTTCCTCCTGAACAAACAAAAGGTCCTCTGGGGATAGATCCACAGAAAGGAATAGGAACAGCATATGAGGGCCATGTCAGGGTATGTATGATCAGATTGGATTTAGGTTAATCTCCTAAAGTTTATTCATGAATTGAAATGGAATACAGTTGCTTTACAGATGCAGTACTTGGCAGAAATTACAGAAATAAAAATTCACCTGTTTATTTTTTTTCATTCATCGTAATGATTTGCAAGCAAATTCTGATTTTTACTTATTGTTCATGATTATGAATTATGAGGTACTATCAATATATCATATCACTTGCTGGATATTATTTAGTGTGATCTTACTTTCATCTTACAACTAAGTTTGATTTTGATGCTATTTAGGAAAAACATGTGTTATTTTAATTAACTGTGAAAGTAAAAATAGTATCATTTGAACATTCTTCAATATAAAAGTCATTTGAAAATTGTATTCCCACATTTTCTCATGTTGTTAATGATATATGTCTCATCTGCTATCTTACCAACAGGAGTGTCAGACTTCCAACACTTAATTATCTTCAGAGGGTTTTTTTTTCATAGAATTACATATGTGATCAGAGGGACTTTGACATTTTTATTTACATATTTTTATTTGTTTACCCATCTTCCAAAAACAAAGATTCCTAAGCCAGCTGGAGTGAAGAAAGGATGGCAAAGAGCATTGGCTGTGGTTTGTGACTTCAAACTCTTTCTGTATGATATTGCTGAAGGAAAAGCGTCTCAGCCCACAGTTGTCATTAGTCAAGTCATTGACATGAGGTAGGCTTAAAAATGTGTCTTGGAACACAAAAATCATAGTTTCTGATTTTTCTTTTAATGATATTGCTGTGATTTTTTGTAGCTGCCAATATAATGTAATCTGTTTTCCAGTTTAGTGCATTCCCATACTACTGCAGTTGGTATTTAATTATAGGATATATTTAATTATAGGATATGTGTGAGTATTGAGAATCATAGAAAATGCTGGCATCTGGGGTCCCAAAAAAAACCAATAAGAAGGTTCTAGAGTAGCCTGATGTAGATTAATGTGTGGTGTTATACTATCAATTAAAGACCTAAAATATAATTCCAATGTGTGAGAAGGAAATAAAAATCTCAAAATTCAGACAAGCTTGTGAAATACATAATGTATTGGTGAACATCATCTCCTGAATGATTCTGGCTTCAGTATCTACACACTTCTTCTATCCCCTAGGGTGTCCTTATTTACTTACTCTCATAAATCCAAGCGCTGACCCTTATTTACTTCCATGGCTTCAGCCGTCTCCTCTGTGTTTATGACTTCCATACATTTCATTCCAATTCATGTGTGTCTTGTGTGCCTCTCTGTTACTCAAAACCAGCATGTCCACTAGGCTACCATGCCAGGTCCCTAAGTTAGGCACTAACAGTTACAATAAGGAAAAATCATGTTTTCATAAATATTCAGTTTGTGTGTTTGGTGTAATTAATATTTGAAGATTGATGCATATTCTTATATTGATACACAAAGGAAAGCACAGATAATAACCACTTTTAATGTTTTACCTTCTTTAAGGGATGAAGAATTTTCTGTGAGCTCAGTCTTGGCTTCTGATGTTATTCATGCAAGTCGAAAAGACATTCCTTGTATTTTTAGAGTAAGTGTGCATGCTGCAAATTGTTTGTTGAATTGCTTTTACTATGTATGATTTGCCTTTCTGTACACATAAACTTTCTAAAAAACCATATATTATATTTTTGTCATCTAATATCTTGATGTGTAGGAAATTGATACTAAGCAAGTACTTAATTAGTGAAATTCTGTAGAAAGCCTGGTTTCTAAAGTATGCCTCATATTAGATGATTTTTTTGGTCCAAGCTTAATTTTAAATAAGTTTTACCACTTGGAAAATTGGATAGCTGTGTGGTTTGTGATGTTCTTAAAAAATGGAAATTTGTCTTTAAAAATCTCATTTTAAGAAACATGTGTTGTAGTTACCTATTGCTTTATTCAAGTACTCTAAAATTTCATAGCTTAAAAAAAAAGTGATGTATTTTTGTTCCCCATTGCAGGCCAGCTGTGCAGTTTGTATGGTGTTAACAGGAGTTAGTCATATGATTACATTCAGCTCATTGGAGGTTAGAACATCCAAACTGATCACTTGCCCATCTAGGGCCTTGGTGCTGTTAGCTAGGTGATCTTAGTGTTCCTCTTTGTTGGCTCCATTTTGTGTTTAACCATTGGATAGTCTGACTGAACCTCAAGTGGCCAGCTTCTATAAGAATGAAACTACCAAGTCTTTTTAAGAACTAGGCTCAAAGTAGTCCAAATAACCCCTTTGGCATTCTCTGTTGATCAGGGCAAGTCATTAGATCAGCCTAGAATTACGATGGGAAAGCAACTTCTTAATAAGACAGAATTTATAGGGGAGAACTGTTGGTAGCCATCCTTGTAAGCCATTTTTCCATAGTATGATCTTGAATTAGCATATTAAGACAATAGATGCTAGTTTAAAAAAAAAACTAATGACCTGTTGTTATGTCTGCCTGTTGAGTGTATGTGAATTTTGTGTCTAAGAAAGGTCAGGCAAGATTTGATCTCACAGTTCCTGCAGTGATAACTGTTTATTCCTCACCTAGCTGCCAAGAGAACCCAGGAGGCCTACTTATCTAAAGCTGATTTGCACAGTGTAGTTATATTGTCACTGATACTTAAATGATTTTAATAAGGAATTATCTCATAATTTAGAACTGATCTGATTGTAAATGTTATATGTATAATGAGATACCTTCATTTTAACACCAAGTCATGTGATCTGATGTTCTGTAATGATAATGTTAAATTGTTATTATGAAGTAACATAGCCTGTAAATATTTCTGAGTATTTTTGACTTTTTAAAAGAAATTTTGAGTCACTATGATGTAGGGCTTAACAGCATGGATATGAGATATCAGACTTTCTAATTCTGTGCCATTGAAGAAATTATTTTATTTCTCTGTGCCACTCCTTTTTTTATATATGTAAAGTAAGAATGATTAATGATTCTGATCATAAAGATACTAAGAAGATCAAATAAGCTAATACTTGTAAAGTGCTTAGGTATATTCAGTAATCACTCACTGGTTTCTGTTGTTGTACCATGCGTATCTGTAATCCACATTTTAGTGAATATGTTCAACACTTTTATAGGTAACAAAATGAATGCATTACTAATATTTTGATTGATTTCTATCACTTTTGCTATAGATTCTAGCATTAAAACTAGTTAATCTTATTAAGAATCATTTTAATTAAGTGAAGTATTACTTAATGTTTATTTTATTGATGCATGCCAAGCAAATTACTATAATGATCAAAGTAGCATGAAGGATATCTGTTTTCTAATTCCATGAATATTGGTTAAATTGTTCTAGGTCACAGCTTCCCAGCTTTCAGCATCTAATAACAAATGTTCAATCCTGATGCTAGCAGATAGTGAAAATGAGAAGAGTAAGTGGGTGGGAGTGTTGAGTGAACTGCATAAGATTTTGAAGAAGAACAAATTCCGAGATCGGTCAGTCTATGTTCCTAAAGAGGCATATGACAGCACTCTACCCCTCATTAAAACAACCCAAGCAGCTGCAATTATAGGTATGGATTTATAACATTCATCCTATTATAATAATCTTCCTATAAACTAGGGTCTAACTTTCATCTGGGAATACTGAGAATACCCAGTGGACAGCATTACACTGTTGTGTAACAAACACTGAGTAAATTTTCATTATCAGTTCTTTGTTTTTCAGTAGACACAAGAAAATACACATTCTAAGTGCATTTTTTTCATAAATGATTTTGTTTTTAAGAAATTTTATTAGCACGTAATATTTGAACACATATAGTCAGGTTACACCATCAAATCGGGAAATTAGCATTCCTGTTTTCTTTTTATTCTGTTTAGAGCAAGGTACATTTTCTTCTGGAAAAAAAAAATTAACGGTGCTACAGATTAAACTATTGATCCATTTCCCACTTTAATGACTTAAAACATTTAATTTCTTCAAGTGTAAGGTTCATATGTGTAGCATAGATAGTAAGTACCTTGAAAAGTTGTTGGGAAGTTTAGTTAAGATGGCATACATAATAAAGAATACCTACGTGTTAAATGCCCTCATCAATGGTAACTTCTGTGTCTAAAGTTTTGTTTTGTTATTCTTTATGTTCAGACCTCCTCTTTTGTTGCTTTTTAGTAAATATTGAAAAGTTGAACAGGTAGACTCATCTAAAATTCAAAATGTTTCCCACTCAAAACAAGAAATGGATGCTAAGGGTACTAACTAGATTTTAAATATTTTCACTATTTATTGATAATGCATTTAGTTATTCTTGTACTGGTAAGTTACCATATACATGTAGATTATTTTTTAACATCTGTTATATTTAAAAATACAGAAGATATTTACCACTCTAATTGAAAAATTTAGTAAGAAAATTGTAACAATTTTAGTACTACTGCCATTTTTACACCAAATTTTCATTATTCCATTAGTTTTACATGGTTTTTTAAATGAAAAATGTTTCATATTTTTGTGTTACAGATCATGAAAGGATAGCTTTGGGAAATGAAGAAGGGCTGTTTGTTGTACATGTCACCAAAGATGGTAAGAGAAAACTAATTTATTTGGAAATAAGTTTATATTATAGCTCTTTTTAAATTTATTAACAGATTTCATGTATTTCACTGATACAAAACTTAGGAAGTAGCCATAGTTTCCTCATTCCTTCAGTTCCCTTCATTCCTTTGTTTTTTTCTTTAATTTTTGCAAAAATGTAATTTCAATCGATTCTGTAATCACAGGGCTTAGTGTGCCAGTAACCATATTACTGAACAAATAAAAAGTAGAAAGATCACAGTTTCACGGAAATATAAGCAAGGACTAAATAGAACAATCAATCACAAGATACCTGTGTCTTATACTTTTTCCTAATCTGTGTATTAACACCAACATATCACAGAAAGCATGGTTTAAAACTTTCACAGTTAAGTTTATCAGGTAAAAAGCAGATATATTCTAATTGAATTGAGAATATAGACAATAGCTATAATAATTGCATGGAAATTTGACACATATGGTAATTTTTTAATAATTTTAATTTTTAGTTAATATTTAACAAATTAGATTAGAACACATGACATTCCCCTTCATCCTCCCTTCCCTCTGTCTCTCAGCTTCCATCCAGTTCCCTGTTTAATTTATGAGCTGATTTACTCCAGCCTTAATAGTAAAACAGTTACTATTTTACCAAATAAGTTTAACAAGTGAAAAGTAAAAATACCTTAGTTTAGTGGAAATACAAACAATTGAAAAATGACCCTTTCATCTATAAACAGTAAATTTTAAAATAGTCACAGACCATTGAAAAAATAGAATTGTAACATTCTTAGTCTGTTGGTTTAACCAAGATATGAAACAAAGTTACACAAAACTGTATTTGCAACAATACTGATATATACCCAGGCTTTTCTTACTGTTTACCTTTTGTTTTTGTTTTGTTTTGTTTGTATTTTTAATTTTATTGCAGCTTTAGGAGAATATTGTTGTTTGTCTCTTTTTGTCTGGTTTATTTTACTCAAGTTAATATCCTCCATTGCATCCATTTTGCTAGATTAAATGGTAGATCTATTTTCAGATTCCTGAGAAGTCTCCATACTGTCTTCCACAGTGTTCGTACTGGTTTACACCCAAACCGACAGTGTGTTAGGATATCTTTTTCCTGTCCTTGACAGCATTTATAGTTTTTTGATATTTTGATGCTAACCTTTCTAACTGGGGTGAGGTAAAACCTCATTGTGGTTTTCTTTTTCTTTTATTTTATGGTACAATTATGTAGTGTCTGAGATTCCCCCCAAATCTCCTAACTCCCGACTGATAACCATATGCAGGTGTGAAGATACAATGCAATATGCATCCCTGCTTGCAACTCAAATATGGACTCCCAATGAAACTGTTGGACATATCTAGACAATGGGATGCTGGACTGTCTAACATTGTACCAGCAGTGTTGGGGCACACTTAAATAAACAGACTGATGGATTATAACTTGTTATGAAGAACTATACTATTGTAACAATATAGAGGAAGTCGGTCATTGTGGTTTTCATTTTCATTTCCCTGATAGCAGTCAATCCTGAGCTTTTTCATGTGGGTTGGCCATTTGATATTAATCCTTTGAAAATGCCTGCTCATGTCCTTTGCACATTTCTTAACTTGATTGTTTTGTTGTTGTTGTCATTGAGTTTCCTAGGTTCTTTATAGATACTGGATATTACTCCTATCTGTCAGTTGCATGTTCTCTTAGTTGCTGTGCAAAAGCTTCTTGATTTGATGTAATATCATTTGTTTATTTTTCTTTTGTTGCCTGTGCTTCTAGGATGTTTACCAAGAAGTCTATGTCAATATCTTGCAAAGTGTTGCCTAATTTTTTCTGTGGCAGTTTTGTGATATCAGGTCATTGATTTAAATCTTTGATCCATATTGATTTGATTTGTATGAGATTTAATGGGGGTTTTATTCTTCTGTTGGCACAGATCCTATTTTCCTGGTATCCTTTGTTGAAAAAATTGTACTTTCACCAGGAATTAACTTTAGTTTGTTTGTTGAAGATTAGTTGGTTTAAGGTGCATGGATTAATTTCTGGGTTTCGGTTCTGTTCTAATGGTCTACATGTTTATTTTCTATGCCAGTACCAGGATATTTTTTGTTATAACTGCCCCATACTATATCTTGAAATCTGATATTGTGATCTTTTCGGCTTTATTTTGTTGTGTAGGTTTGTTTTAATTGTGCAGAGTGTCTTATGTTTCCTTATGAATTTTAGGTTTTGGCTTTTTTCTTCTAAGATCTGAAAAGAATGTCCTTTTTATTTTGATTGGAATCATATTGAATCTGTAAATTGTTCAGCATAGTGTGGACAATTTAGTATTAATTCTGCCAATCCACAAACATGGAAGAGTGTTCCTTTTCTTTCTTTTTCTTTCTCTTTCTTTCTTTCTTTTTTTTTCTATTTCTCTCTTTAGCATCTTAAAATTTTCATTGTATAGATCTTTCACATCCTTGGATAAATTTATTCCAAGGCATTTAAATTCTTTTGTACCTGTTATAGATGATACTGATCTTACAAGTTCATTGTCAGCCATGACATTGTTTCTGTATACAAGAACTATTGATTTCATTCTGTTGATTATATATCCTACATTTTACCAAATTCTCTTATGAATTCCAATAGTCTCTAGGTGTGGAGTCTTCGATCCTATACATATATAAGATCATGTCGTATGCAGTACTGGCTGAAACTTCCAGAATTGTATTGATTACTACCGTGAGCGTGGGCATTCTTTCCTGGTTCTAGATCTCAGTGGATCTTTTCCCTGTTCAGTATCATGCTGGCTGTGTTTTTGTCACACATTGCCTTGATTTTGTCGAAGTGATTTGTTTAAGATCTGTTACCTGAAAGGATTTCATATTTAATTGCATGTTTTCTGTTCATCTGTTGAGGTAATCATGGTTTTTATTGTGATTATCACATTTATTGATTTGCATATGTTGAGCCATCTCTGCATTTCTGGGGTAAATCCCACGTGGATCCGAGTGAATTATCTACCTGATGTGTTGCTGGATTTTATTAGCTAGTCTTTTGTTGAGGATTTTTGCATCCTCTTATCAATTATATTGGTCTGTAGCTCTCCTTTTTTGTTCTCTGTTTCTCTGGTTTGAGAATTAGGCTGATTTTGGCCTCACATGAGGATTTCTGGAAGATTCCTTCCCTTTACAATGCTTTGAACCTTTTGAGAATTAGAATTATTTCTTTAAAAGTTTGATAGAATTCAGTAGTGAAGCTTCTGGTCCTGGGCTTTTCTTTACTATCTTTGTTATTGATTCAGCCTTTGTCTACTTAGGTTTTCTATGCCTTCATGACTCAATTTTGGTATATTGTGTCTAAAAATCTATCTTTTCTAGATTATATAGTTTGTGGTACTTCCTGATGACTTTTTATGTTTCTGTGACATGCATTATAGCATATCTTTTATCTTAGATTTTATTATTAAAATAATGCTTTTAATAATCTTATTTATTTGGATCTTCTTGAATCCCTTCCCTTTAATTTTTTGGTTGATTAATCCAGTGGTGTATCAATTGCATATTTTTTTATCAAGAAACCTGTGCCTCATTTCATCTTTCGTAATTTTTTCTTTAAATTTTGTTTATTTCTTCTCTAATTTTAATTATTTCTTATACTAATTTGTGGCTTGGGTTTTTGTTGTTGGTTTTTTTTTTTTTTGGTCTAGATTCTTGTCCTTGATATGCAGTTTGATTATTAGATGCCTTTCTAATTTTTTTTTTTAAGGCTTATTTTTATTAGAAAGGCAGATTTAACAGTGAAAAGGAGAGACAGAGAAAGATCTTCAATCTGCTGATTCAATCCCCAAATGGCTGCAATACCTGGAGCTGAGCCATTCAAAGCCAGAAGCTTCTTCCTGGTTTCCTACATGGGTGCAGGGTCACAAAACTTTGAGCCATCCTCTGCCTTCCTAGGCCATTAACAGGGAGCTGGATGGGAAGTGGAGCAGCTGGGACTACAACCAGCACCCATGATGATGCTCGTATTTTTGATATTCATAAAAAACTATATTCTCAGTTTTAAGTCTTTGTATCAAGTTAGACCATGGGAAAACAATGTATTTAAAATTTACTGGGGCTGGCATAATGAATGACACACTAGGTAGTCTTAGGCTTGCAAGCACCAACATCCCATATGGGCTCCATTTCATGACCCTGCATCAACATGGGAGAAAAATTCCTAGCTCCTGGCTTTGCATCTTCTCAGCTCCCGCTATTGAGACCACTTGGGGAGTGAGCCAGCAGATGGAAGATCTTTTCCTCTGCCTCTGTTTCTCTCCATAAATCTGATCTGCCTTTCCAATAAAAATAAATGCATACTTTAAAAAACCAGTGTATTAGTTTTGGGGGCTGGCGCAGTGTCATACAGGTTAATCCTCTGCCTGCAACACTGGCAATCCATTTGAGCACTGTTGTAACCATTTCACTTTCAATATAGCTCCTTGACAGTAGCCTGGGAAGGGAAGGCAGCAGATAATTGCCCAAAGCCTTGGACCCTAGTAGAACCATGTTGGAGACCTGGAAAAAGTTCTTGGCTTCTAGCTTTGGATTAGCCCTGCACTGACCATTGTGGCCATTGGAGCTGTGAACTAATGGATAGAAGGTCTCTCCCTCTCTCTCTCAATAACAACATCAGGGTGAAGTTCTCAAGAATTTAATGCCAGTGAAGGTTTTTCTTAGAGATTTGACAAGCCTTTACATGAAAATATTTTTGGCTTGGATGCTGAGAATTTTAATGCTAAATTTAATACCCAATGCACATGAAATACATATCTTTTTTTCAAGATTTTTTTTTTATTTGAAAGACAGATGTAAGAGGGAAAGACATACAGAGAGAAAGATCTTCAGTCTGCTTATTTAATCCCCAAGTAGCCACAACAGCCAAAAGCTGAACCGAACCAAAGCCAGAAGTCTGGAGCTTCTTCTGGGTCCCCCATGCAAGTGCAGGATCCCAAGGCTTTGGGCCGTCCTTAACTATTTTCCTAGGCCACAAGCAGGGAGCTGGATTGAAAGTGGAGCAGCTGGGACATGAACCGGTGCCCATATCGAATCTCAGCAGATGCAAGGCGAGGACTTTAGTTACTAGGCTATCACACCAGGCCCTTGAGTTACATGTCTTATAATCTCTTTCTGCATTGTTTATGATCTCTCATTCTTCTGTGTATATATTTGTGTCTTTAGTATAAGTTGACTTTATGTCCTTTTGTATATCATTAGAAGTAATAAACAATGTGTTTTTTACTTTTGATTTCTCTGTGTAGAAATTATTCGAGTTGGTGACAATAAGAAGATTCATCAGATTGAAATCATTCCAAATGATCAGCTTGTTGCTGTGATCTCAGGACGAAATCGTCATGTTCGACTTTTTCCTATGTCAGCATTGGATGGGCGAGAGACAGAGTTTTACAAACTGGCAGAAACTAAAGGGTGTCAAACTATAACTTCTGGAAAAGTGCGCCATGGCGCTGTCACGTGCCTGTGTGTGGCCATGAAAAGACAGGTCTTCTGTTATGAACTATTTCAGAGCAAGACCCGTCACAGAAAATTTAAAGAAATTCAAGTCCCATATAATGTCCAGTGGATGGCAATCTTCAGTGAACAACTGTGTGTGGGATTCCAGTCAGGATTTCTACGATACCCCTTGAGTGGAGAAGGAAATCCGTGTAGCATGCTTCATTCAAATGACCATACACTATCATTTATTGCACATCAGCCAATGGATGCCATCTGTGCAGTTGAGATCTCCAGTAAAGAATATCTGCTGTGTTTTAACAGCATTGGAATATACACGGATTGTCAGGGTCGGAGATCCAGACAACAGGAATTGATGTGGCCAGCAAATCCTTCCTCTTGTTGTAAGATGCTCTTTCTTATGATTGTCAACTTGTTTTCATTTCATTTTATCTGCTAAAGGTAGTTATTTTTAGTAGCTGGTTTTTTTTTTAAGATATCCTTGGATATTTTACCCAATTACTGATAATGTTGTTTATATAATGTAAAATAACAGTATACAGTTATCCCTAAACAAACGAGGTCAGAATGATGTGTACATAATTAAAACAAATTTTTCTATAGGATATTTTCTTACATGAATTTTTTAAAAACCCCAATGTTGTTGTATTTTTAAATAACCCTAAATAAGTATCTTCATTGTCCCCAATCATAGATCTTATAAGCATTATTAGCTTATGGGGTTACTCTGAAGAAGTGGTTACTAAGTGAATTATTTCACCAGCTAATCAACAGTGTAGCTTTTGTAAGAAGTGTTGTTCAGCCTTTCATTTGTATTTACATATGAGGAGAATAAAATCACTTCTCTTGCTCTTCCAAGAAATAATTGACATTAATAAATCATTGAATACTTTTCTTAAAAGACTTGTTTATTCAAAGGAAGAATGATAGAGGCAGACATGTTGAGACCTTCCATCCAGTGGCTCACTTCCTAAATGTCTACAAGAACCCTGGCTGGGCCAGGCCAAACCTAAAAGGCAGGAACATCACCCAGACCTGCTCCATATACCTTCTCAAGCACAGCCACAGGAAGCTGGATTGTAAGCAAAGCAGCTGGGTAAGCCAGCACTAGGCTAAACAGCTGCTAGACTGCTTACACCAGGGCACTGTCGCCTGTGGCTTTTTATTGTTAAATCGTAATTGTTATTGTTGCATACATGTCTCTTCGCTGTATGAGAGACAGTAATGAGTGAAATAGACACAGTTTAACCCTAACAGAGCTTAGAGAAGCAATAGAATAGCTTCATGATAAAAACAGGTAGTTATGAGAAAATGTAAGTGCTATGACACCCAGAAATGCAGGTTCTATAGATGCATATAGGGGAAAGTATGTAATTAAAGTCCTTTTTGTTTTTAGGATTTATTTTATTTTTATTGGAAAGTCAGATATACAAAGAGGAAAGACAGAGCAAGATCTTCCATCCGCTGATTCACTCCCCAGGTGGTTGCAATGGCCATAGCTGCACTGATCCAAAGCCAAGAGCCTGGAGCCTCTTTCAGGTCTCCCACCCGGCAGGGTCCCAAGGCTTTGGGTGGTTCTAGACTGCTTTCCCAGGCCACAAGCAGAGAGCTGGATGAGAAGCAGGACCACCAGGATTAGAACCGGCACCCATATGATATCCAAGTGCATGAAAGGCGAGAACTTTAGCCACTGGGCTACCACACCGGTCCCAAAGTCTTTGATTCTTAATGGAAGATGTATGAGCATGTTTAAATACTAAGAGGAAAGCGACAACAGGAAAACTACTTGGAAGAGGCTGACTTACAGGAGGCAGAGCAAAATTCTCAAGGCTAGAGAGTGTTAAAGGGTTGTTTGGGGCAGAAATGAAGCCTCTTCCATTGTTATAAGACAGAAAATGGAATGATGGGTGTGAATTCGTTGAAACGTTCAGTGGAAGAAGGTTATAGAACAATACATAGTTTTACAGGAAAAGTAGAAAATCTATATAAAAACAACCAAGGAAAAATATCTCTGGTTCTGCCATCCAGATTTAACTATTTTGAATTTTTTTCTTCTGAAATATATACTCTTACTTATGGCATCATATTGGGAATGAATGCTATTTTGTAACCAAGTCAGCCTTTAATGTGCAATATAAGTTAAACTATCTGACTCTTTATTTTAGCTTTGCTAATAATGCAATTTGTGAACTAAGTTTAGATAAATTATATCACCCCTCTTTGCTTGTGTCACCATTTAAGGTATCCGTGCTTTTGATACCTTAATCTTTTCATGTAACTGTGCTGAGGTGTTTACTGCTCATTGCAAACTATATCTGGAACACTTACCTGAGGCTTGCTGTTTGCAGCCTTACTGTTGAGCTAGGGATTGTTCTATCCTTAATGGGAACATAATCATTTTGTATTACAATGGCTATGTAATCTGAACCATGCTGTGTCAATTCTTCTTTGATGATTTATGTCCTGTTTACTTCAAAAATGTCATGATGTACATACTAGATGGTATTAGTAGGATTTTCTACTTTAAATTTATTTAGTGCAGACTTTTCAAAATGTTTTGGGTTTAATAAAAGTAATCAACCGGCTGTTTCTTCCCTTCTCTCAGGTTACAATGCACCATATCTCTCAGTATACAGTGAAAATGCAGTCGATATCTTTGATGTGAACTCCATGGAGTGGATTCAGACTCTTCCTCTTAAAAAGGTACTGTAAATGATAAGCTAAGCCAACTGATGAGTGCAAGTGAAAAATTAATGTGACTTTAGCTATTTTTCATTAAACTGATTATTTCTGTCATATGGATTGATAATTAGGTACTTAATGAAGAATGAGGAAATGTGAACAAAAACTGGGCCTAGTTAGTGTTAACCTTCTATGCTGGATTTAGTCACTGTGAGAAAATATATTATTACTATTCATTGTAAATACTTTTCAAACAAAGATGTACAGTGTTTAATTCTATAAGGACAGATTTTATAGGCCAAAGAAGTGATTAAACTTAAAACTATATTTCTGTCTTATTATAATGGCTTTTATGTATTCCCAATAAAATACACTATTGTTCCTTAATATTGATATGTTTTTAAAATATGAAGATAAATTTTTAGAAGTATAGAACTGTTATTTTGCAAAAATGAAGATTAATGATTTCATATAGATAAATGTTAAGTATTGGGGACTTCAAAAAGATTTAAAGGTATTTAGACATGAAAAATTTTGAAATTAATAATTTTTTAATATCTGTTCTTTATTGCTTGAAAGGTGGAGAGATAGAGAGACCAGGGACCAATCTTGCTTCTGCTGGTTCACTTTCCAGATGCCCACAGGAGCCAAGGCTGAGCCATGCTGAAGCCAAGGCTGAGACTCCAATTAAGGTCTCCGATGTGTGTGCAGGTGCCCAAAGACTTAGGCCATGTTCTGCTGATTTCCCAGGCACATTAGCAGGGAGCTGGATGGGAAACAGAGCTGCCATGTCTTCTAACCAGCTCCCATGTTGCATTCCATGTTACAGGTGGCAGCTTAACTCGCTGTACCACAACGCCAGCTCCCATGCATTGTTTCAAAGAATATGCAATGTCTGGACATTTTGAAAAATGATGTACATAGTATGTGTGTCATTAGTTAGAAGATAGGTTTTAGAGGAGCAGATGAAAAGTAGCTAAGACTGGGTTGTGGTATAATCAGTTAAACTTCCAATTACAGTTCCATCATTTCATTTTATAGTGCCATTTTGTCCCAGGTATTTCGTTCCTGATTCAGCTCCACGCTAACATGCCTGACATACATAACATACTCAGAGGGCCTGAGTACTTGAGCCTCTCCCACCTGTGTAAGACACCAGAATGGAGTTCCTGGCTCTCGGCTTCAGCCTGGCCCCAGACATGGCTAGAATGGCCATTTATGGAATGAACTAGCAGTTGAAAGATTGCTCTCTCGGTCTCTCCTGTCTTTCCATTTCTGCCTTTCAAATAAATAGAGAAGTAAATAAATATTTTTAAAAAGATAAGTTGCCTAGATCATATTTTACACTGTGTCCCAATTTTAAACAATATCAGCCATGAAATATCTGTGAATACTACTGCATTATATAAAGCAACTAGAATATGTTCCTCTACTTTGTAAATTTGGGCTGATTAAAATTATTTTCCCACTTTTATTTTTTAATATCTTAAATTTGTTTAATTTTATTGTAAAGGCAGATGTACAGAGAGAAAGATTTTCCATCTGCTGGTTCATTCCTCAAGTGGCCACAATGGACAGAGCTGAGCTGATCTAAAGCCAGGAACTAGCTTTTTCTGGGTCTCCCATGCAAGTGCAGGGTCCCAAGGCTTAGGGCCATCCTCTACTGCTTTGGGTGGGAAATGGAGCAGCCGGACATGAACCAGCACCCATATGGGATCCCAGGGAATGCAAGGCAAGGACTTTAGCCACTCAATTATTGTGTCAGGCCCTCCCATTTTATTTTTATCTTGTAATTTTTGTAGTATATGTTTAAAATAAGGAATGGCCTTTGTCAGATCTTACTTTAGTAGCCTCTACACATGTCATGTATTTTAATGGACTCATATTAATTGTATTAAAACCAAGCTCTTGGGAAATAGTAGATATTGTCCTAAGCACATCTCTATAGTATCTAGTTTAATGCTCACTACAACTCTGTAAGGTAAGAAATCTTTAATAATCACAGAAAAGGCACAAAATGCTTAAGTGACAGCTCAGAGTTGGACAGTGAGTGTGTTGAAAGGTTGTGTGAGAGAGGTCATTCAGAAAGAAAGCCTAGTCTTCAGAAGCAAACAGGAGAGAAAATCTTATGGGTAATAAACCTTACCCGCAAGATTATTTTTAAAAATAGGTTATGTACAAAATAATTCTAAGTTCTAAATTGTGAAAGATGGAAATTCCTTCTGGCAGTGACCTTTATTACTAAGGTGTTTTGGGGGGTTTTTTTGGTAGCCAACTCATAGCTCAATTTAAAACTGCGAAACTCACATAAATGCTGCTAGTGAATAATATATCTCATCCATTGAGTCATTGAATAGATCATAACAAACACATTTTCTAAGTCCACATGAAAGTGATTACCAATGGTGTGCAAATAAAATGAGCTTACACTAATAATAAAACAGTAAGGGCTTTGTGAAACATGATGGTAACCTGATCACTGTGAACTCACCTTCCCACTTAGGAGCCAGCGCATTGCCTGTATCACTGCATCTTCTCCTTATTCCATGTCACTGTCTTTCCAGACAATCACTGTCCTGAATGTTACGATTCTGATTCCTTAGATTTCCTTAGCATATTTTAATATCCCTAAACACCATGTTGTTTCATTTTGCTTTGGTTTTTTTTTTTAAAGATTTATTTTTTATTGGGAAGTCAGATATACAAAGAGGAAGAGAGACAGAGAAGAAGATCTTCCATCCAATGATTCACTCGCCAAGTGGCACAATGGCCAGAGCTGCACTGATCTGAAGCCAGGAGCCATGAGCCTGCTAGCATTGAAAGTGGCTTCTTAACTTGCTGTGCCACAATGCTGGCTTCTGTTTATGTATTCCTTATATGTGGTTGTTGGATCGTTATCCAGTTGTTACATGACTGTTTATTGACAGTCTTCTATTTCTCTTAGCAACTGCATTTTCAATCCCATCACAGTTTTTAATAAGAAATCATAAAGCTGTTATGTTGATATTTTCTTACTATAAATAAGGGGCTGTAACTCAATAATTACTTAAAAAAGTAAAATTCAGGGCCTGCCAACGTGGCCTAGCGGCTGAAATCTTCACCTTGCATGCATCAGGATCCCATATGGGAACTGGTTGTAATCCTGGCAGTCCTGCTTCCCATCCAGCTCCCTGCTTGTGGCCTGGGAAAGCAGTCGAGGACGGCCCAAAGCCTTGGGACCCTGCACCCACGTGGGAGACCTCGAAGAGGCTCCTGGCTCCTGACTTTGGATCAACACAGCTCCAACCATTGCAGCCATTTGGGGAGTAAATCAACGATCTTAAGATCTTCTCTGTCTCTCCTCCTCTCTCTATATCTGACTTTCCAATTTAAAATAAATAAACATAAAAGTAAAATTTAGGAGCCAGTGCCATGGCATAGTCAGTTAAGCTTCTGCCTGTGGTGTTGGCATCACATACCAGCATCCCATCTCAGAGTCATTTCAAATCTTGGCTGCAGCACATCCAATCCAAACCGCTCTTAATGGGCCTGGGAAAGCAGCTGAAGATGACTCAAGTCTTTGGGCCCCTGCATCCACATGAGAGACCTGATGAAGCTCCAGTGTGCTAGCTTCAAACTGGCCCAGCCCTGGTTTTAACTGCCACTTAAGGAGTGAACCAGCTGAGAGAGTTGCTCTCCCCTGCCCTCCCATCTCTCTGTTTCAGTTTCTTTCCTCTCTCAATAAAACTGCCTTTCAAATAAAAATTAATCTTTTTTAAAGTCAAATTTATTTTAAATTTCAAATTTAGGTTTAAATGTTTTTATACTTTATTTATTGATTTGTTTAGAATAATCTTTCCTGAAAACATTATCATAGGTTTACTTAAATTGTATGTTACATCTATGCAGTCAGAATTCTTCTAAGGTTTTTGCCGATTTTTTTTCCTACTGTACTATATTTTAAAGTAGATAAATGGTCTTAATTTTATAAATAGGCCAAATGTGTCATTTAATTTCCAAAGGTTTAATTCAAATACTAACTTTATTTTTTATTATTTCAGGTTCGACCCTTAAACAGTGAAGGATCATTAAATCTTTTAGGATTGGAGACAGTAAGATTAATATATTTCAAAAATAAGATGGCAGGTAAGAAAATCAATATATTAATATAATTACTGCATTGGGAAGATTATCTCTAAACCTACTTCTCAGGGTCATGCAAATAATAAAGCAGGGCCAGCTTTTTTTTTGTATTTATTTTATTTTATTTTATTTTTTAAAGATTTATTTATTTATTACAAAGTCAGATATACAGAGAGGAGGAGAGACAGAGAAGAAAATCTTCCTTCTGATGATTCACTCCCCTAGTGAGCGCAGCGGTTAATGCTATGCCAATCCGAAGCCAGGATCCAGGAACTTCTTCCAGGTCTCCCACATGGGTGCAGGGTCCCAAGGTTTTGGGCCATCCTTGACTGCTTTCCCAGGCCACAAGCAGGGAGCTGGATGGGAAGTGAAACTGCCAGGATTAGAACCGGCACACATATGGGATCCCGGCGGGTTCAAGGAGAGGACTTTAGCTGCTAGGCCATGCTGCCAGGCCCTATTTTTTTTTTTTCAATTACATTGCATTATGTGACAGTTTTATAGGTACTGGGATTCCCCCCACCCCTCCCCAAGCAGGGCCACCTTTAAACTTATGTGTCTTATTCCAGTCTGTAATCCCGGCCACTGTCATACAGTGCAGTAACTAAGTAGATAGAGAAAATGCAGCTGAATCTATCTTTCTTGCTTTTAATACCGTACCTCCTAACTAAAACTTATAACAGTAAAATTCTGAATAGTCATCCAGAACTCCTGTTTGGAATTTCAAGAACCCCTTTTCTGTCATTGCAGAAGGCCTTTTTAGCATACACGTGACGGTCACATTCTGCGGGGGAAGATGCAGGAAAGGGGACAGTCAGAAACAGTCACAGAAGCAGGAGAGGGAGTGAGATACTGGATGGTACAGAGAGAAGAGTAGTTGGTCTCTGATCAGAGTAGTGAGGTGAGACCGACGTAGGATTGCATGCCCCATATGTAAGAAGACAATGAAAACTGTACATCGTGCTCAGTTTAAACCTTCCTTGTAAGAAATATTATTGTATAGTATCTCTTTTGTACAATAGTTATATTAACAAATTGTTGCATAACATGTCATTAACAAATTTAATGCATAGCAGATGTATACATAATTTTCTGATCTTTCACTAATAAAATCGTCCCATGATACATTGTATAGTAAAATCACATTTGGAAGATTTAAATACAACTTAAAAACATTGGCCTCAATATAATACGTTAAAATGTCTTTAGGTGATAAGATTATTATTGTAATTCTCTTCCCCATATTCCTCCAATAAAGCTGTATGTTCTGTAATTTTTACAATTTAATCAGAAGTTGTTTTTTGTTTGTTAAGAACTGAAACACACAGGTTTCTTCATTTTTTGTTGAGTGTTTTGGTATAGCGTCCTACAACTCCAGGGTTCTTGGTATACAGACTACTAACTGTAGCAGAAGTCTCTCCAGAGAGGATGTCAGAGTCATTTGAGAAAGGATGCTCAAGTTGCAGCAAGGGTTGCTTCTCAGATGGGTTTCCCATTAACTAATGAAGCTTAAGCTTTACTTAAGCTTTACTCCTAAGATGTTAGAGTTATTTTTACATTGTTTTTCTTTGAGGAACTTGAGGTATTTGTATAAGGTTGGACCTACCCTGTGCTTACTCTGTGTGGTTGTGTTGGTCATGAAAGACCTGTGTTCCCGTGTTGTGCCTGTGTTCCAACTTGTCCTTCCTTATACCTTCACATTCCAGCACTAGGCTGGGTGAAAACAAACTGTCTTGTCCTTTGCCAATGCAGGGACTATTTCCAAGAGACCCTTTCTTTTTATGTCTTGTTTCCTCCTTCTCTTGGGCAGTCATGTTCTTACAGTCCTCTGGCTATCTTAATCTCACCAAAACCTCCTCATTCTTATATTGCAAAATTGTGTCCTGTATTCTTATTCACTTTTTTTAAAAGTCTGTTCATGCTTACTTCAGCAGCACATATACTAAAATTGGAACAATACAGAGAAGATTAACATGGCCCCTGTGCAAGAATGACATGCAAATTTGTGAAACGTTCCGTATTTTTTAGAAACTAATTGAAGAATTTTTTTAAAAAAAGTCTATTGTTGGGCCCGGCGCGGTGGCGCAAGTGGTTAAAGGTCCTCGCCTTGCACGCCCGGGATCCTATATGGGCGCCGGTTCTAATCCCGGCAGCACCGCTTCCCTTCCAGCTCCCTGCCTGTGGCCTGGGAAAGCAGTCGAGGACGCCCAAAGCTTTGGGACCCTGCACCCGCGTGGGAGACCCGGAAGAGGCTCCTGGCTTCGGATCGGCATAGTATTGGCCCGTTGCGCTCACTTGGGGAGTGAATCATCGGACGGAAGATCTTCCTCTCTGTCTCTCCTCTCTGTATATCCGCCTTTCCAATGAAAAAATAATAAAAATAAATCTTTTTTAAAAAAAAGTCTATTGTTGGGCTGCATACTGGCACCATAGGCTAATCCTCCACCCTGAGGCACTGGCATCTCATATGAGCACCAGGTCTTGTCCTGACTGCTCCATTTGCAACCCAGCTGTACATTTATACTCTGCGAAAGAAGCAGAGAATGGCTCAAGGTTTTGGACCACTGCACTCATGTGGGAGACCTGAAGGAAGTTCCTAGCTTCCATCTTTGGATCAGCCCAACTCTAGCCATTGCAGCCATTTGTGCAATAAACCAGCAGATGGAAGATATTCTTCATCTCTCCTTATGTCTCTGTAAAACCTGTCTTTCAAATAAGGATAAATTTAAATGTTCTATTTTAATATTTGTTGCTAGGAAACAGTGTGATTAGCTACATTATCACACTACAAGGAGAATGTCATTTTAACTATGCCTCTACTTTAGCCTGGTTTATTGGCCCACTGAGATCATTCCCAATCCCTTCTTGTGACTTTTTTTTAGTGTTAAAAACCTCTGAAGATTGAATTTTCTCTTTTCCTTTATTTTATTTAATAATGTCATCGCCTGTCATGTTACATAGGTATAGCGGTCTATTTTATCCTTAAAATAAGTTTGTATAGCCCACCTTGTTTTCAGAGTCCCTGACAATTGTGTTTACTTTAGATGTTGAAAACTGAAATGGGGTGAGTTGAGTACTGGGTTACTAGATACATGTAATTAAATATAGTCTTTGCCCAAGATCAGAAGAGTAGAAATGGCAGCAAATTCTGACCTTTAACAAAGGAAAATAATTGGGAGCACAGCTCCTTTTCCTCATCACAGATCTTACAGATTGAGTCATCTGACAAAAGACAATTTTTACTATTTAAAAAGTAATCTTAATTATTGCTTAAATGAGTAACTTACTGTTTATATACTGGATTGGTGTGCAGGTTGAAGAGTAGCTCTTTGACATTGGAAACCATTGAAAACTAGTACTCAAAGGAAGAGAGAGGATTGGGCTTTGGTGGCTAGAGTAATGGACAGCTAGAGCCCTTCTAGTGAAGTTGAGCTTTTTAATGTGTATAAGCAAATAAAAATGAAAGTATTTTGAAAGCTATGTCTAAGCATATATCTTTTTCTGTTCTGTTGAAATTTACTGCTTACTTACTATGAGTATCAGTCTACCACTTAGAATTCAGAATAGTATATTTTTGTGTAATTTATTCATGTTAGTACAGTCTTAAAGATTGATGCATAAAAAAACATTTTAGCAGTTTTAAGAATATCATTATTTGTATATGTGTTTTTGTACAGAAGGAGATGAACTGGTAGTTCCTGAAACATCAGATAACAGTAGAAAACAAATGGTTAGAAATATTAACAATAAACGCCGTTACTCCTTCAGAGTCCCAGAAGAGGAGAGGATGCAACAGAGGAGGTAAATACTTAATTCATGTTTAGAACCCGTAGCATCTGAAGAACTATTTGGTGGTAACACTATATGTGACTTAGGAGAAAAGTCTGCTGATAATCTGTCATTCATCTGTAATATCAAAAGCTACAATAATGACTGTATCTCTTCAATGATGTTTTATTAACGCTGTCAAAGTTATGAATATGTCCTGGATTAAAATACCATCTGTTGGTTACTTCTGTGTGTTTATGAAATAATTATAATTTGGGGGGCATGTACCTTGTTACAATGTAAACATAGAAAATATCTGTACGTACAGTAAACCTGTATATGTTTAAGAAATCAGATGGGGCCGGCGTTGTGGTGCACTGGCATCCCATATTGGAGTGCCGGCTCAAGTTCCGGCTGCTCTGCTTCCAATCCGGCTGCCTGCTAAGAAAGCAGCAGAAGATGACCCAAGTACTTGGGCCCTGACACACCTGAGAGAGACCCAGATGGACTTCAGGGCTCCTGGCTTCAACCTGGCCCAGCCCCAGCCATTGCAGCCATTTGGGGAATGAACCAGCGGATGGAAGAGTTCTCTGTCTCTCTCTCCCTCTCTCTCTCTTTGTTACTCTGCCTGTTAAATAAATAAATATTTAACAAAAAAATGAAATTAAGATTGACTGTTCTCTTCATAGCTAACAGAAATAGGTTTTGTAGTATTTCTAGTAAGGTACCAGAACATTTCCACAAGTGTCACTAGTTATTTTAAAAGGCATATGTAAGCATTCAAAATTATCTGTAAAGTAGAACTATTTTGGTTTTTGAAAGTCTCTGTGTTTTCCCACCCAAAATCTTAAGATCTTTAATTTAAAATAAAACATCCCAAGAATATGAGTTTTAAGTTAATTGTTAATTCTATTTATATATTCTTAGTAATATTTAATAATTTTGTTTATAAAAATGCAAAAGTATGCTTAATTTTTGTATCTTAAGTCATATTGAGTGATGGTAGCAGAGGTGCCTAAATTTGTGTTTTGTCTTGCAGGGAGATGCTACGAGATCCAGAAATGAGAAATAAGTTAATTTCTAACCCAACTAATTTTAATCACATAGCACACATGGGTCCTGGAGATGGAATCCAGATCCTAAAAGACCTTCCCATGGTAAGAGAAGTAAAAAGTGAATGTGAATGGAGTAGAGGAGTAAGTACAGGTTAAGTAGAGAGAAATGTACTGTGCAGCTAAGCCTATATATACATGGGTTAATATGTAGGTTTAAATACGTATGTACAATTCAAAAGACATTGATATAATCAAGAAATGTTTCAGTATATCCCAGCAGGTATGACATGCTGAATGAGAAAAATAGTGCACAGACATCTGTCAGGCCACACAAGTCAGATTCTTTAGATTTTAGCCCTCGAAATCTCTCCCATACCTAAAATTGTTGTTGATAGAAGAAATGCCGAGTTTGGAGAAACATTCTAATCAGATTCAGAACATGGTTATGAAATCACAACAGTTTTTAGCACTTCAGTACAGATATTTGGCCTTTTTTCTCCTGGAGAACTATATTAATGTTGTCATTAATGGTTATACCTTTCAGCTAATTATAAAACTAATTTTTTCTTTGTTCAGTTACAAATGTGTTACCAGACAAGTTACTTGCAAAAATGCACACTATAGAAGAGCTGTTAAAAAAAATATGAGATTGGGTTCTTAGGTTTTATATACTGAGAATAAGAAAATCATTGGAATTAGCTAATTCCAGCTCCTTAACATTTTTAATTTTAGTACTTTCAGTGGACTATGAATATTTTGGCTGTTTTAACCAACGATGTTAACAGTTAAATTTTGTGTTGAATTTTGAGTGTAATTTTTATTTATGGTAGCTTGAAGAGATAATTGGTGAATTTTGATCCAGTTGCTTTTCTAAGGAAATTTATTTTAAATGAACACATTATCAGCACTACTGTGATAGAAAATGTAAATATCAGTCACCACGAAAATGACAGGTAACGTAATTTGATGTGCAGTCAACTTCTGTGGAACATAAAAACTTTAACATTTGAAGAGAGATTTTGCATTTATATCCAGGAGAGTAAAAAGATGATTTGTGCTCTTTGGAGTCACAGTTCTTTGTTGTAAATATCCCCGTTAAATTAGTTGCTTAGGGAGAATTCTTAGTATTTTTTGCATCATCAAAATATTATTGCATTGTCAATAATGGACTTCTTTATGGACTGCAGATAATTATTCTTTTAGAACAAAGATTTTTATTAGCTGTGTTGAGTAGTATAAAGTATGCAACAAAAAGAATAGAAATCATTGGAGCACAGCACAGTAACCTAGTGACTAAAGTCCTCGCCTTGTATCTGCCAGGATCACTTATGGGCGCTGGTTTATGTCCCAGCTGCCCCCGCTTCCCATCCAGCTCACTGACTGTGACCTGGGAGAGCAGTCGAGGGCGGCCCAAAGCCTTGGACCCTGCCCCCGCATGGGAGACCTGGAAGAAGCTCCTGGCTTCAGTTCAGCTCTGCTTGAGGCCATTGCGCTCACTTGGGGAGTTAATCAGTGTATTGAAGATATTTCTCTCTGTATCTCCCCTCTGTAAATCTGACTTTCTAATAAATAAATAACTCTTTCAAAAAAAATAGAGATAATCTTGGCAAGTAGATTGAAGTAAAAATTTAAGGTTGAGCATGTTGAACATTAAAACTAATCTACTTGACTGTAATATTTCAGAGCTTTTCTCAACTAGGATTGAATCTCAGATTCATCTCTGCCCTTTTCCCATTATGCACATTTACTTAAAATCCTCAGTCCAATTCTCCTTAAATTTCAGAAGCAAACATTACACACAATTAAAAGCCTTTGTTCTTTCCCCTTTGGAAGTTGCAATGTCAGGCACAAGATGTATTAATAGAATTTTTTAAATTATGATGGTTTAAAAATGACTAATTTAGCTTACATTTGAAAGTTCAAGTGTTAAATACTGAACCTTATGAAATTTAGTTTGGAAATAGTTTTTCAATACATGATATGTACATTATATATATAGTTAGCATTGTGGAATAATAGAGAAATACAAATTTTGGACTTGTATGCTCTTTTTTTTTAAACTTGTATGCTCTAAAGCAGCACAGCAGCCAATACAAAATTATTTTGTTACAATATTTTAATTGGTAGTGTTTTTTATATGTATCAATTGTTTTAGACAGATTTATTTTTATTGGAAAGGCAGATTTACAGATAGAAGGCGAGACTGCGAGAAAGTTGTTCTATGTACTGTTTCATTCCCCAGATGGCCACAATAGCCAGAGCTGCACTGAAACCAGGAGCTGGGAGCTTCTTCCAGGTCTCCCATGATGGTGCAGAGTCCCAAAGCTTTGGATCATCTTCCACTTCCTTCCCAGCCTGTTTACAGGGAGCAGGATGGGAAGTGGAGCATCTGGGACATGAACTAGCACCCACATGGGATGCTGACACTTGAAGTAGAGGATTAGCTAATTGAATCATCACTCTAGTCTGGCAATGCCCTTTTAAAATTAAAATTTATTTTATTTTTGCTTCATTTGCACAAAGGAGTAGGTACTTTTGTCTTATCATAGCAAGAATTTCCAGTTTTTGTACATAGTGATAATTGCCTTTGAGTGGGATAGTTTCCATATTTATAAAATGTTGCTCTGCTTGATGTTTTCCTGCCTTTAATTGAGAAGTCATTTTGCTGTTTCTTAGTTCTTTCAGACTTCAATGCATATTAAGACCATGCCTCTTGAGGCTAAAATGCCAGATTCTAAGCATTGTGGGTAAATTTTATACCGTAGCATTTGTTCTGCATTTGCTTGTTCTATCTTCACCCTCCTACCACTCTAAAGTAAAAGAAATCTGTATTTTATCTTGTGCTCAAAATAAGACCTGATTTTATTACTAAGCAAGTTCAGCTAGTATTTCCCAGAGATTCATTTCCCAATTAGCTGACCTTCCGTGCCAGCTACACCTCTTGATTTTTAGTGTTTGTTGTCACTTGGTTTTGTTAGCCTATGACCTCCTTGTTGGTTTTTATTGGCATTAACACAGATGACAAGTGACTTTTTGACCTAGCAATTTAATCTACTTTTTAATATGGCTTCCATTCCTTTATTGTTTCTATATGAGGTAAGAACTTTGTATCTGCAAGATAAGAAATTGGTGTAAATTTTTGAAACTTCTTTCTTCACCTGTACATGCAGTATGCATCATACATTTATGTGTCTGAAATCGTATCCTTCATATCCATATTTTACTTTTGCATGACTGTTCACTGCTAAAGAACATAAAGGCTGGGGTTTTTTGTAGACATCCAGTTAATTTCCTAATAAGTATTTATTTGTTCCTTATTGTGTGCCTGAGACTAGGCTGATCTCAGGGTTGGCCTTGGTAAATAATATAATAATATGCATGTCTGAAAATAATAATGTGCATGTTTATACTTGTTTATATATCTTGATTGAAAAGCTCATGATTTCTTAATACGCCTCTGATTTTAATGTCTTGTTTCCACTGAGGTTGATTTATGAGCTATTTCCAGAAAATATAGATGAATCAAATTTGTCTTATATATGAGTTTTCAAAGACTACGGCTGTGTTACCATCAGTGCAACAGCATGAGCCTCAGGTGTTTTTTGTTTTAATTTATCAAACTAGTATTGCTGCCCAATGAAATACTTACAGCTTTAGAAAGTTTATTAAGTACCTTTTAAAGTTACTTTTGTTTCTTTTGTACTAGATGATCCTGAGGTATGATTGTTTTTTTCTGGAATGTTGAAGAGGCAGTAAGGCTAAAAAAAACTGTCCTTTTAACTAATCAGTCTTTAGTATTAAAAGACAGGTTTCCTACAATTGAATAAAACAATCTTGTACTTACAGAATTATTTTCAACACATTACATTTCTCCTAGCCTTTTGCACATCCCTAAAATTGTCAATAAATACAAAATTTCAAGCTCAGTGACCCTGGGATTGTAAGAGGAAGTCTTTCTTAATGAAATCGAAACTACAGGTACATCATTTTTTTTAATTCCTCTTTGAAAAAAATCTGAGGAATTACTGATTTACTGCACTTTTCCTTTAAGCCTAGATGGTATGGGAGTCTTTCTACAGTGAGCTTATCTCTGCTCATGAAAGCATGAATTAGGATTGAGTCTTCCCTCACTTCAGCAAGTGATTGAGCTCAGCCTGTCAAAGAGAGGTCATATTTTGCTAGAAGCAGGTAAAGCAGGTATTCTTCAAGAAAATTCCCTGGGGTCCTAAATATTCAGAATTACAGTATCTGGAAATTTTAAATCTGGCTTCAAAGCTTTTTTCTTTATCTTTGGCTTCCATTTTTCATTTAAATATATATACACCTGAACATTGAAGGAAATATTTTTCCTCTTATTAAGTAAGTGAAAATAAATTTAGACTGCTAAAGATAATCTACAGTTAGTATATTCTGTAATTGCTTGTTTTTGTTCTAGAGAAATAGTGAAAGAAACCATGTATCAAAGTCTACAAACACTAGGAAACAATTTAAAATGTTTTTAGGTTTCTAAGGAAGCAGCTTCATAACTTCACACTACACCTCCCATTACAAGCTGCTGAAGGTTCACTTGTCCTTCTTTAGTCTTTAAATTGTGTCTTTAAATTTTACTTATATTTTAAGAAAGAGACAGTGAAAGAATTCCCATATACTGATTCACTCCCCCAGATCCCTGCAGTGACTTCCACCAGGAGCAAACTCGAGAATGGGAACTCCAACCCAATCTCCCCCAAGAGCTGCATAAATCTGCATTATCAGCAGCAGGGTCAGGAGCCAGAATTATGCATGGAAGCCAGCCGCTCTGATGTGGGACCTGGGCATCTCAGTTGCTAGGCCAGATACCCATCCCCCCACTGTCACTTTTTTTTTCAAGATTTCATGCTTTTTTTCTAATATTTATCATAAATTTTGTGCTATGTGTAGGTTGTCTCACATAAGAAAACACAACTCTGAAAATTTTTCCTCACATCATTGTAAATCCAGTTCATTGTCACTTAAGTATGGTAATAAAAGGATCTTATTAAGAGAATGGTCTTTTATAAATTATCTGTTTGTAACTATTATGCTAAGGGAAATGAGCCATTCCCAAAGATACTATATGTTTG